TTAAGGGGAGTGATAGCAGTGGGATCTGGGGTGAAAGGCCAGTTGGAGTTGGTTGAGGGAGTAAGGAAGCTGGAGGGGGTAGAGACAGTGCATTTGGAAGATTGTTAAAATCAGCTTTCCCATGAAAAGGCCAGAAAAATGGGATAGCAGCCAGACATGAGGTCAAAGGAGAGACTTTGTTAGGATGGGAGATATTAAAGCATATTTGTTCTGCTACTACTGTTTTTGTTTTAATCTTCTGAACCTGAGCTGCTTTGATTGCTTAATTGAAAATGCCTTACTAATGTGTCCTTGTTTTTTGTTAGTTTTAACTTTGAATTAAGATGATCTCATAAACTTTAAGCTATTTGAGCACAGGGATGGAATCATATTTGCCATTTTATCCTCAATAGTATAAACATAGTGTAGTTAGTGAATGTTTTTCAGTAAATGAGTTAAAGATAAGCCAAAAAAAAAAAAAAGAGGTTGCCTATAAAGTTGTCCTTACAATTCATTCATGAGAACCAAATTTTTAATCTTGGCATTCTTCATCATCAGACTGCATATCTGGGGCTAAGATGTATCTGTGTCAAATTGAATTTGGAAATAGCATTGTGGATTTATATAGAAAAGTTACTGTGTATATGCATTGTAGGTAAGTTATTCCTCCAAAAAAGAGAGTTTGAATTTGGAGGCAAGAAAAAGAAAATTCAGACTAAGAAATAGAAAGATCACAGCAATACACATTTGCAATAAAAGTACCTAAAAACCAGTTGTTCCAGCAATAATTACATAACTGTTCTTTGCTAATTTAAGGGGGGAAAGTACTCTTTTTCTACTATGAGGGCGTATTTTAGTATCTGAAGTTTTGGAATTTGGATGTTCTTATGACTAAAAGTTGAACTAGATTTAAGTTACCAGCAGTTTACTGAGCTGCTTCTTATCAACAGATGTACTTTTTGACAACCAACTCTTAATGTATAATCATCAAAGCCAAATTTTTAAAAATCAGTCGGTAAAAATATAAGACTAGAATGATCTTTGAGATGATCCCCTGCTTTAAATCAAGACTGAATTTAAATCAATCAAGACTAAATCTGCTCTAATATTTTTAGAGCTATTTAGATAATAGGTTTCATAGCATCCTAAACAATCATATGGGTGTATAAATAAACTTAATTTGGGTGGGATTATTGGTAGTCAGGTTTTTAGAGTATGATAAGGGATTTTATTATTGGTTTCCCTCTAGCAGATGCATAAAGATGTACTGTAGTTAAGTTGCTAGCTATAGTTCTGATTTATTAACTTATAATAAGTAATAAATATATAATAAATAGTAACCTTTGCTTGAGAACTGATATAAAAGATCAACACTTACCTTCTTAGTAGATTTCCAGAATAAAACTCAATTATAAATTCAGGGTTTGATGATGAATTTTGTGTCAATCTGAGTAGTCTGTGATGGACAGTTGTTTAGTTCAACTGCAGTCTAGATGTTGCTGTGAAGGTATTTTTTTAGATGTGATTAACGTTTAAACCAATAGACATTGAGTAAAGCAAATTACCTTCCACAATGTGGGCCAACTTCATCCAATCAGTTGAAGACCTTAAGAGAAAAGACTGAGGTCTCCTGAAGAAAGAATGAATTTATTTATTTATTTATTTATTTATTTATTTATTTATTTATTTATTTATTTAATTTATTTTTAAGATTTTATTTATTTATTTCCAGAGAGAGAGAGAGAGCACAATCAGGGGGAGCGGCAGTCAGAGGGATAGGGAGAAGCAGGCTCCCCCGCTGAGCAAGGAGCCCAATATGGGATTCAATCCCGTGACCCTGGGATCATGACCTGAGCGGAAGGCAGATGCTCAACGGACGCCTGAGCCACCCAGGTGTTTCTGAAGAAAGAATTTCTGCCTTGAGGTTGCCTTGGACCCAGGATTGGAATGTTAACTCTTCACTGGGTTTTCAGCTTGCCAGCCTGCTTTGCAGATTTCAAACTTGTCATCCCCTACAATCCTGTAAGCCAATTCCCTAAAATCAGTCAATCACTTCCCCACTTCTCTCTCTCTCTCTATCTCTATGTGCCAATGTGTGTGTGTTGGTTCTGTTTCTTTGGAGAACCTTGACTAATATACAGAGGTTGGAAAACTTTTTCTATAGAGGACCATATAGGACCAGATAATAAATCTTTTAGGCAATACAGGCCATACTGTCCCTGTCACACCTACCCCAACTCTGCCATTTTAACACAAAAAATAGTCATGTAAATGAATGGGTGTGTTTGTGTTCCAGTAAAAACTTAATCTACAGGAATTGGTGGCTGGCTGTATTTTGAACAGGACTGTGGTTTACTGACCCCCATATTAAGTACTTGCCTGATAATCCATGCCAAAGAGATAAGGGAGGGTGTGTATACACACACACTTTTAAGGATGTTTTTTCAAGAAGCAGTTTGTCATCCTTTTGTGTATTAGGGGTTATTACTTTGGCTGATAGTCTCAATCTTTAGCTTGGGTTTTACATGTTTTATTTTTACCCAATAGTTTCTTTAAAAAAAAAAAAAAAAGATTTTATTTGTCTATTTGAGAGAGAGAGTATGAGCAGGGGGATGGGGCAGAGGGACAAGCTGACTCCCGCTGAGCCTGGAGCCAGATGAGGGGCTTCATCCCAGGACCCTCAGATCATTACCTGAGCCGAAGGCAGACGCTTAACTGACTGAGCCACCCAGGTGCCCCCTCCCCCAAGAGTTTCTTATATACTGCAACAGAAAGTCTCACTCTTATCAATTCTGAACTGATAACTGACCAGTCAGTCTTTTCTCTGATGCCCCATTCTTTTCCTTAGAGGAATGAGTAATGAGGGAAGAGATCACTAGGTGGACAGGGCAGTAGGAAAACACAACTGGCAACCTAGTCTACCAGCTTTGCTGTGTCTATGATGGTTCCAGGTTCCAAGATGTAATCCTTAAAGGCCATCATTTTGCTCTTGGCAAACAGGACCATCTTTGATAAGGCGGGTAATAATTTACAATCCCCACTTTCTCTCTTTCCACTATAAGTGCCAAGAAAGTGTTGTGATTGATGCCTTAGGATCTTTCAACAAATCAGTCTTTGTTGCCTAGTTGTACCACAGTTAGTTGGGGAAGAGTTTTAAGTTCTCAGGAATACTGGAAAGGTAGAAATCTCTAAAGCAAGATAATATCACTCTAGGCCACAGAGCAGAAAGAAGTTAGGCTAATCCAAGATAAAATTAGGCAAATAAACTTTTGAAGTGAAAATTAAAATTGTGACCCCATAATGTTAATCTGGTATATATTTAACACCATCTGTGTCTGCCTGTCCCATTCTGGGTATTAGAAATGTTAAAGGAAATTGAGCCTAGGAAACATTGAAAGGAGCCACATCAAGGTTGGTGAGAGATCTGGAAGTCATATATCATTTGTACTAAAAGAGAATATTCAAGGGTGTCTGGGTGGCTCAGATGGTTAAGCGTCTGCCTTCGGCTCAGGTCATGATTCCAGGGTCCTGGGATTGAGCCCCACATCGGGCTCCTGGCTCAGCGGGGAGCCTGCTTCTCCCTCTCCCTCTGCCCCCCCCCCCCCCCGCTCATGCTCTCTCTTTCTCTCTGTATCTTTGTGTCTCAAATGAATAAATAAAATCTTAGAAAAAATAAATAAAAGAGAATATTTAAGGGAGACACAAATAACTTTATGTAAAGGTTTGCCATTTAGATTTTCTGTTTGTTGCTAGAGATTGGAAGCCTAGATACCATAAGAAGAAGCCATAAAGAGGCTAATTTCAGCAACCTATAATCCTACAATTCTTTAGAGCAATCCAATAATGGAATGGACAGTACTCCAAACCTATAGGCTCCTGTTGTTTCTAGAAACATCTAAACTGACATTCAGTAGCTCTCTTAGGAAGGATGTTTGTTGGATCAGTTAATCTTAAAAATCTCTCACAACATTACCCTCTGAGTCCAGTGCTTCTTAAGGCAATGAAATCATAATTCCAGGAAATACCACATCTTTGCTCACTAAAACTTCCAACTTTGAGATAGGCCAAAACTTCCAAAAAAGGCTAGTACAAATGGAGGAAGACCAAATGGGCAACAGAACAAGTAGACAATATAGAAGGTAGGAAAATGTCCGGGTCATTACTCAATACAGTTTCTTGTCCCAGTTTGTTTCAGCTATGTGGTCCCTAATCTAGTGTCCTCATCTACCTTGGGTGTTTACAACAGCCCCGAAGGGATAGCACTTTCTCAGGCACATTACCTGCCTCTCTCATTGTACAGTAGGGAGCTATTCGTCATTGGGCATAAGAATTTATACTTAGAGAAATTTGGCAAGAAGAGTGTGTGCCATGGACACAACATTTTATTCTTTCTAGAGAGTTACCTAGACAGTTGCCAACTTATAAAGTGCAATAAATGTCTCTGGAAATGTAGTGATCTGAAGAATACTGCTTTTATCTGAACCTCAAGTTGGAAGGCAGACTAAGAAACCGTCTATAGGATTAAGACCCACAAGGAGCGCGCCTCATGGGTTTTGTTTTCTGTGTGGTATTCAGGGCTGAAATGCCAACAGAGCCCGGACTGAATGCAGACACCAGTCTTCCTTCTTCCCCCTCTCTCCCACAGTGCTCACCTCTCCTCTAAATGAAGTTGAACAAATATTTAAAGAATGTTGATTTGAAGGGGAGCCAAATTATTATTTTTTTTATTTTTTTTAAATTTTTTATTTATTTGCGAGAGAGAGAATGAGAGACAGAGAGCATGAGAGGGAGGAGGATCAGAGGGAGAAGCAGCGAGCAGGGAGCCCGATGCGGGACTCGATCCCGGGACTCCAGGATCATGACCTGAGCCGAAGGCAGTCGCTTAACCAACTGAGCCACCCAGGCGCCGGGGACGCCAAATTATTAACCTACTCGAGAGTCCTATGTCTCTTTCAGGCCCTGTGTTTGCCATAATTGTCATAATCTATTACTTATCTCTTTTTTTCTGTTTATTTCTATAGTGTCCATGGAAAACGTTGGAGAACAAGGTAAGATATGTTTTATTATTGTTTTAGATATAAAATTTTAAAAAGAATTTAAAAAAATAGTATTCGTTTAGATTTGGTTGGAATTAATAAATTATACTTTGAGATTGTGCAGTCAAGGTGGGGTTAAAGACTTCTCTCAGTCTCCAGACTGAATTCTTCAGGCACTTGGCAAAGACCTCTCCCTTGAAGTGGTAGCCATTGTGCCAAAGATTCTTGTGGTTTTGAGATATAGGAATATCAACAATCTCCTGTTTCAACTCAGAATATTACCCCATACCTGAGTCACCCATTCTGTTTGTGGAAAATGTCATTAGCTCTAGTCATTTCACACTGATTTAAGTGCCTTAATGGATTATTGAATTTTTAAGTGATTCTATGAGTATAATCATTTTTTAAAAAGAAGACAAATAATAAATGAAGAGTATCACCATTCTTTAAAAAATTGCCACACAGTTTTAAGATACCAAACATGCTGTATTTTAAATTGGCATATTTTATTCAACTGTGTCTTACAGAATTAATTTATATATTAATGTATTATCCAGAATTGATCATTGACACTCTATACAAAATTAGTATTTTATATTTGCATAGTACATTTCAAGACTAAAACATCATATAAAGTGTGTTTATATACTTTGCCTGAAAAAAGTATGCTTTTCTTAACAGTTGTTCCATGTGATAAACAAGACACTTGGACTCCTGTTGGAGTAAATCTCTTTTCGTCCAGATGGTCTCTGTTTAATTATGTAGTCATTAAACAATCAGGGCCAACAGATTTGACCACTGCTAAGCAAAATTAGCAAAGAACTTCTCAAATAGGAACTGCTTTTGCTATTTGTCAGTGAAATGAAGTTCTTAAAGTCTGAATGTTTTAACATTTGTTTAATTCTGTGTTTCCTTACTTTTATAATTTAGGAAAGGTCGCTGTAGCCTTTTGGCCAGTAGATAGGCCTGTCTACAGATGAGAGCTTTCCTTTCATGGGATATTAAATAATTAAATTATTAAAGGATTTGGTTAATTTAGAACAAGTAGATCTGTGAATAACATGATTTCAATTTGTATTTGCATATTATAATGATAATTATGTTCTTCTCATTTTAGTTGTGTGCCTGATTGCTTATCATCTACTTTTTGCAATGTTTGTCTGGTCATACTGGAAAACTATCTTTACATTACCAATGAATCCTTCAAAAGAAGTAAGTTAAAATATTAGTAGAGTTATCCTAAAGTTGGACATCAATAATATTGATGTCTGAAGAATGAATTTTATGTCTTTTTGTTAATGTTTCAAACTTACTGAGTGAGTGTACTGATTTGTTTTTATTAATGTGTCTTTTGGTAAATACTTGAATTTTCACTTGGCAAATATTTTTTTTGCACTGAGTGAGTATTGTATATCTGATATTATATCTGTTGTGTGTTCCATTTCTACTTTAGAGTCAGACATCAGGGTGGATGGATGGATATATAGATAGAGCTGAAGGTAGACATTGCTATATTATAATTATCAATTATCATACTAACAGTAGATTCTTTGGCTGTCAACCACCAGAAACAACAACAAAATAACAATGTAACTAATCTTCTCTTACATTCAAAGTCTGTAGCTAGTCCACAGCTTTTTGCTCTGACATGTGTAGCCTCCATTTCCAACATCACCTCTTGGCCTAAGATGGATGTTTCAGTTCCAGCCATCATGTCTACCTTCCAGACAGCAGGGCAGAGAAAGTAGGATAGAGGAGTAGAAGTAAATGTCCTTCTCTTCAAGGATACTTTCTGGAAGTTGCTGATGCCGGCAACTTACTTTAGCACTTAGTTATATGGCCACATTTCTTTGTGCAGAAGGTTGGGAATGTAGTCTTTATTCTCAGTGGCCATGTTAACCATATTAACCATGTCAGAAAGAAATTGTGGATAATGGGGGAGGGCGGAATAGCATTCTCAGCTACAGAAGGTTTTAAGTAGAGTGATATGGTCAAATTTACACTTCGAAAAGATCATTCTAAGTGTTTGTTTCTGTCTTTCACCCTGGTTAAAAGTTGTTGGAGCAAAGGACTATGTCTTACTCATTTCTGTATTGTTGGCACTTATTCCGGTACATGTTTGTTGAATTGAAATAAACTTTGTTCCAGTAATAATAGTAGAGTTTTAGTTAGCCAAGTTAAAAAAAAAGAAAGAAAAAAGAAAGGTCTAGGCATGACTGCAAATTGTTCCCTGAAGTAATCTGTTTAAGAAACACAGCTGTGGTCAAAAAGGCCAATAAATATGCTGTATGACCTGGGAAAGGATATTAAAAATAAAACCACAGATATTTGCACAGAATTAGTGTTATGCTTGGCTTAAAATGTTTTACATGTAGCCTGTTTTTCTTCTACTCTCCATTAATTTTTTTTCCTACCTTTTTTTTCCCTTCCTCCTGCCATGTTTACTTCTTTCCTATTATCTCTCTTACCCCCATCCTGATCTTAGTTGTAAGTATGAAGAAGAATGCAGACTCCTGTCATAGGTGATCTCATCCTCTGGTGCTTTACCTATGACCTCTGTATTGACAATTCCCAAATCTATTTCCAACTCTGACCTCTCCTGTTGCAAACTTACATATTTCCCTGCCAAACATAGCTCCTTAATCCACGGACACCTCAGACACAGCACATCAAAAGCTGAAGTCACCCCCATCCCCCTTCCCAAACCGTGACTCATCTGTTTCTTATACTGGTTAATGCCACTGCCATCCAGCTCATCCTTCCTGACATTCCAGCCTTCTGGAAGCTTGGCAGCCTTGCCTGGAATTCTCCCGCTTCCTTGTCCCTCCCCCAACATCCAAATCCTGCTGATATTTTTATTTCCTAATTTTTCTTTTTTTGTTCCAACAACCCCCCTTTTCTTCCTTTCTTTCTTTTTTTCATACCATTACCCTAATTCGGGGTCTCAATCATCTCTTTTGTCTGAGACATTGCAGTCTCCCATTCGGTTTCACTATTTACAGTCTTGCCTACATTCCCTTCCCAGAGCCCTGCAAAATTTCATCCTTTACCCCAAAACTGGAGGTCTAAAATCAACTTTAACTCTTCCCACTCTACATCTGAGAGCCCTTTCAACCAGTTTCCCTATTCTGTGTATTTTCAACATAGTATCCAGGGATCCTTTCAAAACATAAGACAGATCATATCATTCTTTTGCTCAGAACTTTCCTTTGATATCGGAGCTCACTCAGAGTAAAAACAATTCTCTACTGTCGCTTAAAAGGCTGCGCATGCCCTGCCCCCACACCACCTTTCTGACCCTCTTCAGTGCTGCCTTAGTCACATTGGTCTCCTTGCCCATAGGTCAGTAGGCATGTTTCTCCCTCAGGGGTCTTGAAACCTGGTATTTTTCCTTGATCTGGAACATTCTTCCCATAGGTAACTGTGTGGCCAGGTCCCTTACTTACTTCCTATCTCTATGTCTCTGTTCAAATGATACCTTCCTTATCTTTAAGGCTTTCCATGACCACTCTGTATAAAATGGTAAAATCCTATCCCCGGAATTCCCTATAAACCTTAACCTTGCTATATTTTCCTCCATAGCATAGCATTTTATAACTCATTCCATATTCATTTTTTATATTATTTCTAGAATGTAAGCTCTGCAATGGCATGAACTTTATCTGTTTTGTTCACTGACCCATCGCTAGTACCTAGAGCAATATCTGACCCATAAAAGGTACTCAGTAAGTATTTGCTAAATGATTCAACGTAGAGCGGAAGCTGGTGTGTACAGATGCAGGTTTGTGTTTATAGCTTTGGCAGAAGTTGAAGTAACTTCTAATTTCTCCCTAAAAGTATATGTGAGATCATTGGCTACGAATGGGAGGGAGGTAGGTTGACTGAGGTTGGGGAGAGCAGATGTTCAAAATAGTGGTTGGAGAAAGTGAGTGGGAAAGTAAAATGAAAAACACAGAAGAAATGACACAGTATTGAGGGAACAGTTGAGATTGAGGACAGTGATTTATTCCTGTAGCAGGCTTTGTTGGTGATTTTTCTACAGAAAAAACCTCCATACCCTTTATTCAATTCCTACAACTGTGTGAGATAGATACTGTTTATTACTGTTTTACAAATGGAACAGTAGGCTCTGAATGTTGGCTAAGCATCCCAGGGCATCTAAAGCTAGTGTGTGGCAGAGCTAACATTCAAAGCAAAGTTGTTCTGACCATCAAGCCTACACTCTTCCCAGCATACCATGCTCTAGTATGGAAAGTGCACATCACAGTTGGGGGCAGGGGTGCAGCCAGGACGTCAGTTGGAGCTTGGGGAAAAAATAGCAGCACTTCCATTTATAAATTATGTTTTTAGTGTTTCTTTTTTTAAAATTAAGTTACATATATAAGGCATAGAAATTTATAGAAATATATATGAAATATATAAAAAATATATAAAGTATATATATACACTTCATATATAATAGCTAATAATAAATATATAAATAAATATGCATATCAGTCTCAAATTATTTTTTTACTGATGGGTCCATGATCAGAAGAATTTGGAGACCATTATTATGAAAGAAAGAGTCCTGACTTGCTGGCTAAGAATCTTGAGTTATTCCATTAATAAAATGCAAGATCTCACCCTAATCTTTCAATTGGTCAGCAGCCAGAGACCCTCCCATTGTAAAATGAGGGATCCTTGTTAATTAAATTGACAATAAAGTGCTCTCAACTGCTAAAAATCTTAGAAAAATGGGACTAAAATAGCAGGAGAAGTGGGTAGTATAAGAAAATAATTTGGGCGCCTGGGTGGCTCAGTTGGTTAAGCCTTTGGCTCAGGTCATGATCCTGGAGTCCTGGGATCGAGTCCCGCATCGGGCTCCTTGCTCAGCAGGGGGTCTGCTTCTCCCTCTGACCCTCTTCCCTCTTGTGCTATCTCTCATTCTCTCTCTCAAATAAATAAGAAATAAAAAAAATCTTTAAAAAAAAAGAAAAAAGAAAATAATGTTAATATTTTCTTGTTACTATTGAGAGAATGCTAAGAAATCTGAAAATAAAATTTACCTTTTTATATAACAGGATGGTTAAATTGCTAATAGTTTTTCAATATATGAGATTTTCTCGCATGAAAGTAAGATAACCATACTAAATTATACTTTGAAAATGGAGACTAAACAAAAAGAGAAAGGAAAAAAAAAATCACTCCATGCTAATATAGCCAGTTTACATGCTGAATTTCTTTTGAGTTATTTTTCCTAGTTGTATTCAACATGCACATATTCTAGGGTTTTTTTTCCCCCACATAGTAGTCCATCATTGGTTTACGGTCATTTTTAATAATGGCATATTTTTCTCACTGAAATATGTAAAAATTTACTCTGTCACATCCCAAGTTGGAATTTTAGGCTGATCCCAACTTTTTGTATTACAGATAATTTTGTTAACATGTTTGTACATGTTTTGTACACACTTTTTACCTATGTTTTGGAATATTTCCTTAATATAAATTCTCAAAAGTCAAATTACTAGATCAAGGAAATTTAAGTCACTTTGCCAAATTGTTTGAAAAGAAAATGATCACAAGTTACAGTGCCAACAGTTTTATCAGAACTTTGGCTTTGCATGTTGTCATTAAGAAAGCCGTTGGTTGCCAAGTCAGTGGGCAAGACTGTTCTATGTTTTAAGTTGTACATTTTAGATACTGATAAATTGTGTGTTCCTTTTTGTCCTATGTGAAAAACAACTAGCAAAAAATACCATTCTGTGAGTTTTCTATTTGTTAAATAGATTTCAGGTTTTTTTTCTTAATTTGTATATCCTCTTAAAATTATACTCTTCTTTAACCTGAAAACTCTGATTTCAGATCTTGGTTTCTAATATCATTCTCTAGGTAAGGAAGGAGGAATCCTTGGAGAAATGGCTGATTCTAGAACTAGGGCAGGAAATAAGAGTGTGGGTGGAGGGATGGGTGAAATAGATAAAGGGGATTAAGAGTTAGAAACTACCAGTTATAAAATAAATAAGTCACAGAGATGAAAAAAGTACGGCATGAGGCATATAGTTAATAGTATTGTAATAATGTTGTATGGTGACAAATGGTGACAACTCTTAACATGGTGAGCACGGAGTAATATACAGAATTGTTGAATCAATATGTTCTACACCTGAAACTAATACAACATTGTATGTTAATTATGCTTAAATAAAAAGTAAAAATTAAAATTAAAAAAGATGAACCAGAATATCTTACAGGGATGAAAAGTAAGGTAGTGCTCACAAGTTAATAAAATAGAGTACTTTCTTGACTTATGACGGGTTTACATCCTGATAAACCCATTGTAAGTTGAAAATACAGTAAGTTAAAAATGCACTTAATACGTCTAACCCATTGAGCGTGATAGCTTAGCCTAGCCGACCTCAAACATATTCAGAACACTTACATTAGCCTACGTCTAGGCAAAATCATTAACACAAAGCCGATTTTATAATAAATTGCTTAATTTATTGAATACTGAACGTGAAGAACAGTGGCTGTGTGGGGACAAAAGGGTTGTTACATGGATCGGGTGTTTACCCTTGTGATCGCGTGACGGGCAGGAGCTGTGGCTTGCTGCCAGCACCCCACATCGTGAGAGCGGATCACACTGAATATCACCAGCCTGGGAGAAGATACAAATTCAGAATTTGAAGTATGGTTCCTAGTGAATGCGCAGCACTTTCACACCATTGTAAAGGCCAAAAAATCGTTGAACTGCTGTAAGTTGGGGACAATCTGTAGGTTGATGGTGGCTTATCAGGGGGACACAGAGCCAATTGAAAACTCCCAGTGACCAAAGCTAGAACAATTTGAGCAATAAAATAAACTACTATTGGATTATAACCCAAAGTATAAAATAAATATCTGTGAGTCTACTGATAAAAGTAAATGAATAAATGCATGAATAAACAGGGAGAAAAGTCTCTTTCATAGAAGAATTTCAAATAATGTAGATACTCTGCCTTTAAGAGGGACAAGAATAAAAACCCCACTCCATAAATGTAGGTTGCATGTGGTGAATTTCTTTCAAAGAGTACAGGATAGAAAAGGGAAAATCATGAGGAACTTTGGAGTCGAGAAAGCTGACAAACACTGCCTCAACCAGGTGACCGAGGTTCACGTCAGCACTGATAGGCAATGTTGATACCATATGCCCTGATAGGATGTGATAAGAATGGCATTTTACCTCTGGGGTCTTCATCCCCCTGACAACTAATCTCAAACCAATCATGAGAAAAACATCAAATTTTAATAGAGAAGCATCTTATAAAATAGCTGGCCAGAATACTCAAAACTCTCAAGGTCAATAAAAACAAGGAACATCTGAGAAACTCACAGTCAGGAGGAACTTAAAGCGAGAGGACAAATAAATGTACTGTGGCATACTGGATGGGATCCTGGAACAGAAAAAGAAATTCAGTAAAAACTAAAGAAAACTTAAGAAATCTGAATAAACTGTGGACTTGAGTTAATAATAATGTATCAGTATTTATTTACTAATTGTGGTAAATGTGTCATAATGTACTAATATATGATGTTTAATAATGCGGGCAATTTGGTGAGAAGATATATGGGAACCATGTAATATTTTCTCAAATTTTCTATGAATCTAAAGTGTTTCAAAGTTGATAAAACAATTTAAACAAAAGAATATGCATTAATTGGCCAGGGGACTCCCATAACCTGTAGGTTGGTGGTAGGTCAGGGACGTTATCTTTTCCACCCTAGGAAATCTTCCATTCTTTCAGATCTCTACAGATGTCGTCTTTCTTCAAATCTATGACATACCTTTGCACATCAAAGTATTCTGGGGGAAAGGACTGTATATTTGGTGCATTCCAAGGTAGAATTAGATGTTTGGACATCCATCCTATACGAGTAATAATTCTACCAACCTGTATTTGGTTTTCTGGACCTGATACAGTGTGTTGTTTATTTATTAATAAAAGCATTAAACATCTGAGGAGTCTTTCAGTTCTGTTACTCATTTTTTAAAAACTGAGATGTAAGGTAGCAAGCAAGTGAAGAGCAACTGACAGAAAAAATGCACATAAATGTGACCTTCATTTATTTGTTATTTGTATTCATTTGAGAGAGGACTGGTTGAAGTATAATTTTGAAACACTATGAAATTAATTGATAGGAAAGCAAATGCTGTGGATTTCAACAGAAGGGATATTTAATGTGGAGAATACTTTTTTCAGTTACCTTGGAAACTCCTAAAGATTTAACTATAACCTATCTACTAGTTTAATGCCAGTAAATTTGATATACTAACTTAGAATAATTTATATTATGTAAATTTATACTTAGAGAAAACTTTTTATTTTCTTTACCTTAATAGGTCTGAAATTTTATAGTATATTTAACTAAGTGTCATGCATATGGGAATATTATGGTAACTTAGAAATTATCTACATTTGAAAACTGGAGATTTGTTTTTCTTTTTAAAATAACCTCAGTAGGGTGTCTGGGTGGCTCAGTCAGTTAAGCCTCTGCCTTTGGCTCAGGTCATGATCCTAGGGTCCTGGGATCGAGTTCTGCATCAGGCTCCCTGCTCGGTGGGGAGCCTGCTTCTCCCTCTGCCCCTCCCCCCATTCATTCTCTCAGTCTCTCTCTCTCTCAAATAAATAAATAAAATCTAAAAAAAAAATAAAATAACCTCGGTAGAATTGTCAACCTCTAAACATATATTTTTAATTTTTATTTCTCTAAAGAGAAAGATTTGGGCTCAAGTATCATGACCTCATTTTCAACAAATTGCTTTTCTTTCCTTCATTGACATAATTAGATCACTTTTTCAAAACTTAAATTGTGAAATATATCATACAAAAAAGAATGTATAATTCACAGTTTAAAGAATAATAAAATGAAAGTACCTAAAGTCACCCAAGTATTATAGAAAACATTATTTATATTTTTGGTATTTCCTATGTACCTTCATATTGCATTTCCCTGCATTCCTGAAGAAGTAACTACTCTCCTGAAGTTTTGTGTTAATCATTCTCTTGTTTTTCCTTATAATTTTATTATATATATTTATATATAAACTTATGTAATATATACTTACATATAATTATATACTTATATTTAATAATTTTATTATATATTTATATATAAATATATTATTTATAAATTTATATGTAAATTTATATAAATTATATATAATAAAATATATAAATATGTATATATAAATATATATCCATCCCTATAGTGTATAGCTTTCTGGTTTTAAAATTTTATATAAATGGAATCCCATATGTTCTGTAAAAGGATCTGTTCTTCAACAGTATGGTGAGATTCTCTGTTGCACACAGCTGTGATTCATTAATTGTTCAGTGTAATATAGGATTCAGTTATGTGGATCTATCATACTCCAGCTTATTTGTTATCCTTTTGATGGACATTTGGGTTGTGTTTAATTTTTTACATTTCAAACATCGATGCTCTGAATATCCTTGTACATGTCTCCTGGAACACATTTATACTTTTTTATACAGACTTTTAAAACTGTTTTTTGTGGTGTGTGTGTGTGTGTATGTGTGTGTGTGTGTAGCCCAAACCAATTTGATTTTTCTCAAATAAGTATTTTTTAATTGGGTAGGCCAAATTGGCAGTTTACAAAGTAAAATGCATGATTAGTTCTTTCGAGTGCTAGAGAATTCAGATAATGGTTATCCCTAAGTTAAAATTCACTTAGGTGAGAAAACATGTTTGATGGGTTTGTTTCTATTTTTATTCCTAGTAATATCCAGTTGAAAATTTATCCATTGAGCCAAATTTGTTTATTTTGCCATTTCATTTATTAACATAACTAATATTAGGGGAGACCTCTACAGTTTATAAAACAATTTTACATACTCTATTCCTCTTGAGTTTCACAAACATCTGAGGAAGTAGGTATTATTAATTACTCCCTTTTTCTAGATTCATCAACTAATGCTCCACCGGATTAACAGACTTGCCCAGATTCAAACTCTGTTACCACTCTGAATCTATATGATAGATACCATTAATATCTTTTTTTTTTTTTTAAGATTTTATTTATCTGAGAGAGAATGGGAGACAGAAAGCATGAGAGGGGGAGGATCAGAGGGAGAAGCAGACTCCCCGCCGAGCAGGGAGCCCGATGTGGGACTCGATCCCAGGACTCCAGGATCATGACCTGAGCCGAAGGCAGTTGCTTAACCAACTGAGCCACCCAGGCGCCCGATACCATTAATATCTTATATATACCTTTTTGTAGGTGTAGTAGACCACTGTGCTATTTCTTGAGAACACTGACTTAAATTTAATTTTCTCCCACAGTTCCATCTCTCTTATGCAGAGAAAGAATTGTTGGAGAGAGAGCCAAGAGGAGAAGCCCATCAGGAAGTTCTTAGGCGAGCAGCCAAAGATCTTCCCATCTATACCAGGACCATGTCTGGAGGTACACAATTATGAGTGCTTTGGCACCATTGTTATGGTGACTGTCAGCATATTTATATACTTGAAACTGTCAAACCCTTATTGAAAATCATTGTGTTCTGTCTTGGGTAGTTATTAAATCTTTCCTATACAATTCCATAAAACAGACACGTGAATAATAGCATGGCACAGAGATCTCAACCACATCCTCACTTACGTTACTTCTGTGGCTTCTCTAGTCACTTACTTGGGACTCAGTGGAGATGTTAGAACTGCTGAAATCTTGATTTTTAGTTGTATTTGTTTTTTTAAGTTTTAAAGTTTTAATTATAGATCTTCCTATTCTTAAATTGAAGGGAACAATATCTATAATGAACATAACATTGGCAATTTTACATAAATTTAAAGCAGTAACTGTATAAAGTGTGTAAAACTTAAGGTATTGATATAATTTATCTTTAAAATGTATGGGAATTTTCATTACTTTCCCTTTTTTTTTTTTTTTTACAAATGCAATTCAGTTAATCTCTTTTACCTGGGTCAAGATTTGTTTAGGTAGTTTAACAGCTATCTAATTAAAGAATTGCCTTAAAAATGGACATACACAGACTACTGATATTTGTCCACCAAGACTCACCGAGAAATTTTGTAACTTGAGGCCTGCGCCACCCATTTTGGTGGCCATGTGGCTGCTGAGGACTTAAAATGTGGCCACTCCAAATTGAGGTGTGCCCTAAGTGTAAAATACACAACTGGTTTCAAAAGATTTAGTGTGGAAAAAAGAATGTAAAATATCCCATTAATATTTATGTATTATTTATATTTGTTTCTAACTCCCTTGAGAATCATTATTGAATCTAAGTCAAAGTCTCACAGTTTTTTCCTGTTTGTTTTCCCTGTTTCTCAATGGGCGAGTGGCAGTTCCCTGATTTAATTTTAATGCCATGGGTTCTAGTCCACAAAGACAGAGCTGTGCTTATATGCGTTTATGTATATTGACCCTATATATAAGTCTAGGCAAATATCAAGGAAATTAAAGCCCCCTAAAAATAAATTCCTGCACAAGTTTCCAAAACTAGTTAATGACCATGACAGTATCGGGTATGAAAAACGAGTCTCCACATTCATTCGTAGTTCAGGGCTCTTCTACTGTATCCCTTGACACACTGGATTTGGAAAAAGGAAGCACAAGTCACACCGCAACAAAGTATTAATTCCCATTAATAGTAACTACACTTTGGATTTATAAGTCATCTCTTCGTGTAGTTTACATAATGTTAAGACTGTCAGTCTCTTGTTCCTCTCAGGTATTGTATCCCTATCTCCTGAGATGAACTTAGGGTTCTTCAGATTTATGACTGTGGCATATAACCTGGTCTCCTAACATACTCTTTGTTTATATTTTCAGTGCAAAAATTCCGGATGCCTGCAAAATCAATGTTAACTGACTAGAGTCACTGACTAAATTAAATCACACACAAAGTGTAATAAATAGATTGTGTTGGTCTGATTGATCCCCCTGTGGACTATGTAGAATGGAAAGATAAACACGAGACAGAATGGACGCTCAGTGCATCAGCCACAGTACTTAGCCAAGGCAGGACTGTGAAAGAGGATCTTCTTACCTCACCCACAGCCAAGACCAATGGGTTCTTTGGAAAGCTTTCTTCTTCACCCTGAGAAATTCTGTGGACGAAAGCAGCTGAAAAGTTCAGTTGATGTGCATGCACTTTATATTTGATAGAGAGAATTGAAGAAAGTGGATCGTAATATAATTCAGGATTTTACGATCCATTCTAAATCCACAGTACTTCCTCCAAACCCCAAAGAGAAAAATGCCAGCTCCCTAGAGTAAACTGATTGCCCTACACAGAGAAAAATTCGACCACATACACACTTGCGCGTGGAGGGTAGGAAAGTAGGGTATTAACAAGACTGCTCATCTTGCCTGTTTGTCTTCGGCTTTCTTACAGGGATCGCCAAACTTGATCATATTGTTTTTGATTTTTACTGTTATTAATGAGGACTCTTTGCTTTTTTTTAGCTCTCTCTTGCCTTTCATCTTTTTCTACAATTTTTTTTTTTTTTTTGTAGATTTTGACTAAGAAGGTAACAACTAGAGGTGATGGAGCTTATCATTTTGCACACAGAAGTTGATAACGTTTTCTTTTCAACATTACCCAAAAAGATTTTAAATTACATAAGTAATATGTGAATAAACTCTGAAAAAATTAAAGCAAGACAGTTAAAATTCGCCTTGGCTGTTAGGAGCTCTTAAATGATAAGCAGATGGTTCATTTTAAATTACGGCGGAATAATTTTAGTTGAATATGATACGGCACATGGAATTTTTTTTAGTTTTTATTTTAATCACGTGGTGCGCATCATGACAAATGCCCTCCTTAATCCTCATCACCTATTTACCCATCCCCCCCACCCACCTCCCCTCTGGTAACCATCAGTTTGTTTTCTATAGTTAAAAGTCTGTTTCTTGGTTTGTCTCTTTCTCTCTCTCTTTTTTTCTTTTTGCCTTTGTCCATTTGTTTTGTTTCTTAAATTCCACATATGAGTGAAATCATATGGTATTTGTCTTTCTCTGACTGGCTTATTTCACTTAGCATTATGCTCTCTAGCTCCATCCATGCCATTGCAAATGGCAAGATTTCATTCTTTTTTATGGCTGAGTAATATCCCATTGTATGTATATATATGGCATATATTCTTTATCCATTCATCAATCGATGGACACTTGGGCTGCTTCTGTATCTTGGCTATTGTAAATAATGCTGCTGTGTAAACATAGGGGTGCATATATCCCTTTGAATTAGTGTTTTTGTTTTCTTTGGGTATATATCCAGTAGTGCAATTGCTGGATGGTAGAGTAGTTCTAACTTTTTGAGGAACCTCCATACTGTTTTCCACAGTGGCTGCACCAGTTTGCATTCCCACCCACAGTGCACAAGGATTCCCCTTTCTCCACATCCTCACCAACTCTTGCTGTTTCTTGTGTTGTTGATTTTAGCCATTCTGACAGGTGTGAGGTGATACGTTATTGTAGTTTTGATTTGCATTTCCCTAATGATAAGTGATGATGAGCGTCTTTTCATGAGTCTGTTGGCCATCTGCATGTCTTCTTTGGAAAAATGTCTGTTCATGTCTTTTGCCCATTTTTAAATTGGTTTATTTGTTTTTGGGTGTTGCTTTGTGTAAGTTCTTTATATATTTTGGGTACTAACCCTTTATCGGATATGTCATTTGCAAATATCTTCTTCCATTCTGTAGGTTGCCCTTTAGTTTTGTTGATTGTTTCTTTCATGTGCAGAAACTTTTATTTTGATGTAGTCCCAATAGTTTATTTTTGCTTTTGTTTCCCTTGCCTCAGGGGACTGATCTAGAAAACACTTGCTATGGCCCATGTCATAGAAATTACTGCCTGTGATCTCTTCTAGGATTTTTATGGTTCCCTGCCTTACATTTAGGTTTTTAATCCATTTTGAGTTTATTTTTGTGTATGATGTAAGAAAGTGGTCCAGTTTCTTTCTTTTGCATGTTACTATCCAGTTTTCCCAACACCGTTTGTTGAACAGACTGTCTTTTCCCCATTGCATATTCTTGCCTCCTTTGTCATACATTAATTGTTGATATAATTGTGGGCTTACTTCTGGGTTTTCTGTTCTGCTCCATTGATCTATGTGTCTATTTTTGTGCCAGTACCATACTGTTTTGATCACTACAGCTTTGTAATAGAACTAGAAGTGTGGTACTGTGATGCCTCCAGCTTTGCTTTTCTTTTTCAAGATTGGTTTGGCTATTCACATATTTTGTAGTTCCATACAAATTTTAGGATTGTTTATTCTAGTTCTGTGAAACATGCTGTTTTTATTTTGATAGGGATTGCATCAAATGTGTAGATCGCTTTCAGCAGTATAGACATTTTAGCAGTGTTTATTCTTCTGATCCATGAGCATGGAATGTCTTTTCATTTCTTCATGTCATCAATTTCTTTCAGCATTGTTTTATAGTTTTCAGAATACAAGTCTTTCACTTCTTTGGTTAGGTTTATTCCTAGGTATCTTACTATTTTTGGTGCAATTGTAAATGGGATTGTGGGGCATTTTTTGTTTTTCGTTTTGTTTTTTTTTTGCTAAGAGACTAAATTTTTGTTTATGAAAGACTATAAGCAAAAGGCTTATTTCTACATTGTTTTAATTTCTGGCGAGTTCTCACCCACTTTGATTTGAGAAGGTTTCTTGCTGCTGTTGTTGTTGTTGTTTTGTTTGATTGTTTGTTTTTTCCCAGTGTGCTTTAAAGTAGAGATAATCATCTGGAGAGAATGTAGCATTGCCCACCAAACTCACCACTTAAAGTGCGACTATAAGTGTAAAAAATATATAATAGTTTTCAAAGACTTGGTATGAAAAAATGTAAAATATGTGATTAATATTTGTGTATTAATTATATGTTGAAATAATATTTTTGATGTATGAGGTCAAATATTATATTTTCTTAAAGTTAATTTCCCTGCTTCCTTTTATTTCTTTTAATATAGCTCCTAGAGAATCTAAAAGTACACATGTGGCTCACATTATATTTCTTCTGGATAATATTGCCTCACTTTGATGCTCTCAGTGAGCCAGTGGTGCTTTGTAGTTTTCTCTGGAATGTAACTGCAAGACTTCTTCCTTCAGGAGATGAGCCAGCCATGCCATTAATCTCTGTAGTTCCCAAAAAAGGAGAGTTGTAAGGGGGGATGATTGAGAACTTTTCTTAATATTGAAAACAATTCCATATAGGTCTTGTTGCCTGAAAAAAGCTCAACTTAATCTTAGGATAAGCAACTGTTGCTTTTTTCAGAGATCATAATATTAGTTAATATAACAGTGATAATTACTTGTTGCAAGTACTTTTTCCAGATTTTAAATTCACTGTCTGGGTTTTTACTGATCCTGTGGCCCAGCCAGTAACTGTTCTCCTGTAATTTTGGTAGACTGCTTGTATCTTGTAAGATGTCTGTGTACTGAAATAGCATCTCCAAATCAGACATACATAATTGTCTTTGATATATATATTAGAAAAGAAAGGATCAGGATTTCCATTACAAGAATTAAAATTCAGTATTGGAAGTACTTCTTCTTTTTTTTTTTTTTAAAGATTTTATTTATTTATTTGACAGAGAGAGATAGCTAGAGCAGGAACACAAGCAGGGGGAGTGGGAAAGGGAGAGGCAGGCTTCCTGCTGAGCAGGGAGCCCGATGTGGGACTCGATCCCAGGACCCTGGGATCATGACCTGAGCCGAAGGCAGACGCTTAATGACTGAGCCACCCAGGCGCCCTGGAAGTACTTCTTCTAATACTCACTTCTAGTCTTGTATCTCACCCTACAGAGAACATGTGAGCTTTTTCCCAATTTAAACAACTAATAGAGTTTATTCACAAATTTCTAAAATGTGTTTCTCATAAAACTTTTATTTATTTTATTTTTTTAAAAGATTTTATTTATTCATTTGAGACACAGAGATACAGAGAGAGAGAGCATAGCAAGGGGAGAGGCAGAGGTAGAGGGAGAAGCAGGCTTCCTGCTGAGCCAGGAGCCTGACGTGGGGCTCAATCCCAGGACCCTGGGATCATGACCTGAGCCAAAGGTAGACACTTAACCAACTGAGCCACCCAGGCGCCCCTCATAAAACTTTTAAAATATGGTTGTATCTTCAGGTACTTATCCTGGTAGGGTACAGGAAAGAAATTGATTTATTTGAGGGAGACATTCTGTTTACTTTGATAGAAATGGACATATTTGTACCCTTTGTGAGCCTTACTATCATTACTGACAATTAGGAATGCCTTAGAAAAATTACCCCCAAAGATTCTCTATTCTTGAGAAAGCCTCATTAGAAAACTGAGGCTGGGGGCGCCTGGCTGGCTCAGTCAGAGGAGTGAGTGACTCTTGATCTCGGGGTCATGAGTTCAAGCCCCATGTTGGGTGTAGAGATTACTTTAAAAAAAAAAAAGAAAGAGACAGAGAGAGAGAGGGAAGGAAGGAAGGAGAAAGAAAGAAAGAAAGAAAAGAAAGAAAGAAAGAAGAAAGAAACAAAGAAAAAGAAAGAAAGAAAGAAAGAAAAAGAAAGAAAGGAGAAAGAAAGAAAGAAAGAAAACTGAGGCTGTAGGCAAGTCATTCTATTTTTGTATTAACAGTAGAATATCTCATTTTTACCAAATTCAAATTCACTTTGCTTTTTTAGAAGTTAAATTTGGATAGCTGATAAAAGCCATTTAATGTATATTCAATTCAGTGTTAAGTCTAAGACTAAGTGGAGCTTTTTGTCCCTAGCAATCCGATATTGTGACAGATGCCAACTCATAAAACCAGACCGCTGCCATCACTGTTCCGTCTGTGATAAGTAAGAAAACCTTTTACTTCTAAATCTCTACATGCTGGTGGTCTTTTTAATTAATATTGTTTCTTTCCTCACTGTTTTCCAGATTATTTCCTTTTTTCCTTAGTCGTATTTCTGAGACCTTTATTTAGGACATAGAACTGGACAGTCCCTTGCATTGATACGAGTGTGGTTTAGGGCCACAGTCACCTAATTGCCCCCTTTCCCCCCAGATTCACACTGATGTGAAGAAGTGCATGAGTTTTGGCAGCTCAGACTTGGCTAGCTCTGTTTACCAAATACTTCTCTGACTCTTTTTTCACCTTTATAAAGATAGCTCATATGACTACATGATAATCAGATATTTTAGATACGTAATATATCACAAGGACTGTGCTACTTAGCTTAAAGATTGATATTAAAGAGAAGTTTTATCCAGACTTTCTGTAAATCTGTTGACATTTTACACTTTCTTTAGCATAAGATAATTGTATATTAACATAATGAATTGTTTTAGGAAATGAGTTTTTTGATTTCTACTTTAAAGTATGTAGATTTTGAAAATTCTATAATTATGTATCATAACTGAAATTGGCTATAGTATTTGAGATGAGGACTTTTAGTATTATTTATTTAATTTTTAGGTAAGTAATTTTGCAATATTTTACTTGGCACAACTCTAAATAACTTTGACTTAATGGGATTAAAATTTTATGAGGTGTTAAGTTGTGTGTGTGTGTGTGTTTATTATTTTTTTAGATGTATTCTGAAGATGGATCATCACTGCCCATGGTGAGTATGGCTCTATACTTAAACATGTTTCTGTCCCTTAGAACTTAAGAAATTGAATCATTTATCTGTTTAAATCTTTTTATAGATGAAATCTTGCCTTAGCTGACCCAGGAGGTACTTTCAGATTTAGTTTCTAGTGTTTGTTGAATTAACACCAAAAAGGTTTTATTTGGGAGAGTTTCCATAGAATAATTTTAAAATGAAGTAGACCAACAACATGAAAGTTAATTTGTCATATTTGCTTAGAACAAATGGTTTTCTTTGTATGCACATGCATCAACACGGAGATTCTGAAACACTTCCCAGAAATTACACCAAAATGTATTCATAAATTATACACAATACCTCACTGGAAGTTTTGAATAATGAATTAATTCATCTCAAGCTTTAACAATTTGTTTTAAATAAAACTTGACATTGAGGAGTATGAAGAGCAAATACACAAATACATACGTGTTTAAACAAGGGTTTTCACTTGGAGCTCATTAATATTTTAAAGAATAATTTTAGATCAGGCACCTTAACAGAGAATGATTTGAAAGCTCTAATTAACTAATGAAGGTTGATTTTCCTACCTCTCCCTGTAATTTTTCTTCTCCATGTGCACATAGCAGTGACAGCTACACTCAGGTTGCCAGCCAGGTTGGATTTGGACACGAGGCGGGATTATTCTACCAGCCTTGCCTTCTTTCAGAGGTGGCCCTAGAAAAAGGTAGACATGCCCACAAATGTGTGCTGGGTGTAGGTGGAAACATAGGGAATAATGATCTTAGCTGTAGGAAATAATAGGGGAATGTCGGCTTTACCGTATTTTCTCTCTCTAGATAACTCTCACTTTTCTCCAGCTAGATTTTCTTCTTTCCGATGTTAAGGCCAGCTAGCTCCTATGAGAGTAACGTTCTCATCAAAGAAAGATCTCAATGAATAGCCTCACTTGGTATTAATATTCATTTGTAGCCATTCTTTTGCTTTCCTCGTGCTTTCATTCGTTCCGTTCTCTCTCTCAGCAAGTAGCTTTTCCCCCCAATATCTTCTATTGTAAGTTTTCTTAGTGCTCCGCACATTCCTCTGTTGATCCCTCCAGTAGCTCACATGTCAGTGCCACACCCACATCTGCACCATACGCCTTGTGTTCACTGCACCTGCCGCAGTCAGTTCCCATGCCCATGGCGGCTCCTCGCCTCAGGCCCCACTGTTTCTTTATCTGCCTGCGGGCTCTCTGTTCCACCTGAGGAGGCTGGGTCCGCTGAGAAGCCGGGCAGCCCAGAGGTGCCAGGCATGAATGCTTCCAGAGGCTACCCTCAACCAGCGAGGGCCTGGCCAACAACACACGCTTTATGGGCTTTTCTCCCCTCCTTGTTTCAGATAAGCTGTATCCAAGTTCTTGTCTCAGGGTCTGCTCTCGGGGGAATGCATGCAAAGACACCCTTCTTTTCTAAGTAGCTGTGTATTCTCAGTATAATTTAGCAGAATGGGAAAGAAATCAAGGACATAGAGTTGACTTCGATTTTTCTGACTTAGAGTAATAAATATGAGATGGTGATGACAAGGAATGGAGAGGTGGAAACAACCAGTATTAATTCCAAGCTTTACACACCTGTAAAGTGTGACGTACCCTTGCTATCCTCACTAAAGCACAAAAATAGGAAATAATAATTTACTGTGATAGCAGTCTTTCTAAACCTGCCATTAATTTGCCTTTATAAGAGACTTATAGCATAATTTGACAATCTTTCAAATTTTGACAGATCTGTTGAATAAGCGAAAGGGAACGGATAGAAAGCTCTAGAGGTTTTAAAAATGGGTGCAGATTGCATACTCATAGACTCCCTGTTATCACGCTCACTCTCTATGGCAATGTGGGAATTGTTGAATGAACCGACTGCAGTACCTTTCAACTTCCATGTCATTGCTTCTTTGTACTGTGGCGTCCCCTGCTGCCCACTGTGTCAGCCACTGTCTCAGCTCTGGCCCTTGCAGAAGGCAGTAAGCCGGGTGGATTTGGGAAGGGTTTGGTGCCAAGGGCCTCGTGTTCACCTGGTGTATTTGAAATTTCAAGTTAAAATTTTAAATTAAAAAACTTATGCATAATGCATATGCATGGTTCTAAATTCAAAAATAAAAAAAGTGCCAAGTGTTCGTCCTAGGCCCCCCTCCCCCGCTTCTTCTCTTCCTCACAGGGAGCGTATCGCTAAATGTCATGAGTAGCTTTCAGATATAAATGTGTATGTGTGTGTGTGTTACATTTTTTTACACACACACAAAAATATTTTACACTTTTTTAAAAAAGATTTTATTTATTTATTTGAGAGAGAGAATGAGATAGAGAGACAGAGCATGAGAAGGGGGAGGGTCAGAGGGAGAAGCAGACTCCCCGCCAAGCAGGGAGCCCGATACGGGACTCGATCCTGGGACTCCAGGATCATGACCTGAGCTGAAGGCAGTGGCTTAACCAACTGAGCCACCCAGGCGCCCCCATTTTACACATTTTTTAACAGAAGTGGTTCCACTATGGACTGAGTCTGTGCCTTTTTTTTTTCCCTCTTCACTTAATATATCCTGGAACATTTTCCATATCAAGATAGAAATAATCTCTTTTTATAGCCATTATGTCAATATAACAGTCATTGGTTAAAAGATCTTCAGGATGTTCCCAAACTGTGGGGCAACCTTATTATGCAGGTCTTGTATATAATTTTGAAGTTCAGTATCTGTCAACTTTGAGCATTGAAAAAGCAGAAAACTATGCTTCCTTGTTGTCAGGGCCTCCAGCCTATCTGCTAAGGCCAGTTAAGATGACCCATCAGGGTGCTGGGGATCCACCTTGCTCTTGTCTTTTAACCGAAATGGAAATCCTGGGTGCCTGGGTGGCTCCGTTGTTAAGCGGCTGCCTTCGGCTCAGGTCATGATCCCAGAATCCTGGGATCGAGTCCCACATCGGGCTCCCTGCTCAGCGGGAAGCCTGCTTCTCCCTCTCCCACTCCCTCTGCTTGTGTTCCTGCTCTCGCTGTGTCTCTCTCTGTCAAATAAATAAATAAAATCTTTAAAAAAAAAAAATAGAAATCCTGTAGTATTTGCCTTATTGGGTTTCCCATCAAAGAGTTTTTCTTTTAATATAAAATTTTCATTCATTCATTCATTCATTCATTCATTCATTCATTCATTATATTAATGATATGTTTTGACATGCTCGCCAAAGATTAGGTAACACTTATTAAATTCAATAATTTTAGCTTCATACTGAGTGCCTATAATGTGCTAGAGACTATATATATATATATATATATATATATAAAATCTGTAATTCTTACAACAGTGACAGAAATTACAGAAATTATTTGTCCCATTTTAAAGAAAAGGGAGAGGTGGAGCTCAGAAAAGTTAAAGAGTGGGCTTAAAGTCACATGGCATGTTTTTTTGGACTCCAAAGTCCACATTCTGTCTTTTTTTTTTTTCTATATTATGTTCTTTTTCCTATTTAGAATCAGAAAGCAATTGCCCTGAAATAGGGCCAATTGCTATTTGCACTAAATTTTATTTTTTTTTAAGATTTTTTTTTTTTAAGATTTCATCTATTTATTTGAGAGAGAGCGCAAGCAAGAAAGAGCATGAGGGGAGGAGGGGTGGAGGGAGAGGGAGAAGCAGGCTCCCCGCCGAGCAGGGAGCCCTATGCGGGGCTCCATCCCAGGACCCTGGGACCATGACCCAAGTCGAAGGCAGACACCCAACCCACTGAGCCACCCAAGTGCCCCTATTTGCACTGAATTTTAAGCAGCATATAAGGGATATTTACCTTGAGCATGTTTTGTTTCTCCATATAAAATCATTCAGACTCAGAATACATCTCTTCCTTTTCAAACTGAGTCTACAAAGCAGTAGGGAGTTAAAACATTTCACTGTCTGTTATGAAGAGACATTTTATTACTATATTTCCTCAAGTGTAAAGTACATATCAAACGCTAAGATACTTGGTTTTTATTTACTGACTTTCTCTTCTGTTTCCTAAGTGACAGATAAGTTACATTACACCATGCTCCTAAATAGAAGCTAAAGTAAATTAGATGTTATGAAATCTGTAATCAAAATCATTTTACTTTTTATAAAAATGCTATGTATCATTTAATATAAAAGCTGCCTTCTTACATTCTCATAGGAAGAGAAACAATCTTTCTTATCCCTTCTTATTTTCCCCCAGTCCACAAAAGAGTCATTGTCTTCACCCTCATCCTCCAAAGTGTTAATGGCTCCCCAGCTTCTGTCTATGCATTCTCTCCTCTGGAAACCAACACAAGAAAGCAAGGGGAACACATCGGGCTCCCTGCTCGGCAGGAAGCCTGCTTCTCCCTCTCCCATTCCCCCTGCCTGTGTTCCTGCTCTTGCTATGTCTCTCTCTGTCAAATAAATAAATAAAATCTTAAAAAAAAAAAAAAAAAAAGAAAGAAAGCAAGGGGAATATCCTGTATCCTTTGGAGACAGAATGCAATTAGACTAGGCTTGTTTGGAACTCTGCAGTATGATTTCTTGCCATTATTTCATTCAGATGTCAAAGAAGGCAACCTCAGTAATTGGTTTGCACTCACACTAGAACCATCACGTTTTCATATCATGTGCACCTAGAATTTTTGCCTTCTTTATGAGCTTATTTGCCATATAAAATACCCTTATGTTCCAAAGGTACTAAATCTAGTCCTGGTTCCTTTACCTTATGTTTCTTGAGGTAGATGATATAAGCACTTTTCTGTTTCTTTCCCCCCAAATTTTCAGTTTATTCATAAGCCAGATAATATTTACCTTTTTAGTTTTTTTAATTAATTTTTTTTATTGTAGGCACACTTACGTGGCACCTAATCTCTTCACAAATTTTTAAGTGCACAGTACAGTATTGTTAACCATGGGCACAGTGTCGTATAGCGGACTTCTGGAGCTTATTTATCTTGCATAGTTGAGTAAACATTTTCATGTGTACATTATTTCACTTTAAAAATATAAAAAGAAAAATGTCTCAGTTTATTAGCAAAGTCAATAGAGACTGAGACTACCTGGCCAACATTAGAGTAGGACAAAGACATTTGAGGAGAGAAAACAGTATGTGTACATTCCATGCAGTACGTTTATTATACCGGTTAACACAGCTACCTCAACCAGTGAAGATACCCGCCATTTCCACTTAGGTGTTGTGTCACGTGTACAACAAGATCAGCCTGAAATTCCCTTGTCTTTGTCAAAAGGAAGATAAAAACATGTTGATGGAAAAGTGTGACCATAAAGTCTGAGTTGTATTTGTATTTATGCTTTTTGATACAGTAGTTTGAATTCATACTCCTCCTCTCCAAAATATAGTAACTTTAGAGTGAGAACTGAGAATTACAAATCCTGTTTAGAATCAAAGGATATGGAGCCAGCTCTCTGGGATGTTTGTTTTGCAGATAAGGAAAATGAAATTCCTATAGACTATTTCACTTGGTCAAGGCCACATGATTATTGAGTGTCAGATGCATCTTATGACCCTGGCTGTCTGGCTCTCAATCCTATTTCTTTTCTTAAACCTCCCCACGATAATCAGTGGTATGCTGATGGCATGCATGTAGTTTGTGAAGATATTTCATCTAATTTGGGAAAATCTGAAAGACTTTAAATTACCTAATCATAGTTAGAAATATCCAAAGGTAATGAAGAACTTAGTAAATTCCTCTTATCTGCCTTACTTCATTAGGTTTCTCACCAGCTCTGTGTTTTTAGGCATGTGCTTATTTGCATAATTGGACATGAAATATAGTTATACGGTTCATGGCTGATTAAAGCAGTATCACATATCAAATTTAAAAATCTAAACACAAATTCCTTTTTTAGCGAAATGGATTTTTTTTAATGTTTGTAAGTGTAAAGAAATTTTATGAGGCTTGCTTAAAGAAATGCCAGTAAATTTCAAATGATAGGAAACCAAATACTGTGTTAAAGATGAGCATATGCAGACATAGGTTGAAAGCATACAGCTCACTGAAAATGTTGTTTTTGTTTTGTTAACAGGGTGAACAATTGTGTTGGATTTTCAAATTACAAATTTTTCCTCCTTTTCTTGGCTTATTCTCTGCTGTATTGCCTTTTTATTGCTGCTACGGATTTACAGTATTTTATCAAATTTTGGACAGTAAGTCAATACCTTGGTGATTTTTTTCTGGCATACAAAAATATATAATAGATTTTCAGTAATTGAGTTATTTCAGATGCTGATTTTATAGACTAGAGCTCATTTATATATAGTCAATCCTCACTGTTCACAGATTCTGTGTTTGTGAATTCTCTTACTTGCTGAAATTTATTTGTAATCCCCAAATCAGTACTCACAGGGCTTTTGTGGTCCTTTGCAGACATGCACAGCGTGGGAAAAATTTGACCCGCCCCGTGGGCACATTCCCAGCTGAGCTCCACAACATACCGCCTTCTTGTTTGTTCTTAGTCTCTTATACTGTAAACAAGTATGCTTTTCAGTCTGTTTAGGGTCACATTTTTTGCATTGTTTGTACTTTTTGTTGGTGATTTTGCCATTTAAAATGGTCTTCATACATAGCGCTGAAGTGCTGACTGGTGTTTCTGAGCAAAAGAAGACTATAGCATATTTTATGGAGAAAATCCATGTGTCAGGTAAGCTTCCTGCAGACATGAGTCCCGCTGCTGTTGGCTCTAAGTAATGAATCAATAATGTATATTAAATGTCAGTACGGTGTTTTTAAGCAGAAATGCACATAAAACAAGGTTGTGCATTGATCCTTTGACAAGAATATTGTGAGAAGAGGTTCATAGGAACCTAACCCTGTATTTTCCCTGGGGCAGTGGTTCCATATTTACAAATTCAGCGTTCATGACACCTTTACAGGACCTGACCATGTGAATAATGAGAATTGACTATATTCGAAGTTTTATTTTCAGCATTTAAAAATTGAAGTGTTTTCTTTATGAGTAGAAAGACTGTTTTTTAAAACTATTATGTCTATAATATCCTGAGTTTTTATTAGGTATTGCTTGATTAGGCTTTAAGTAATTCATTTGTTTTCTGTGCTCTATATTTTAAATGTAAGCAAAACAAAAGTAAAATCAAGTATTATAAATATCCAAAGATACTCCTTGGGGCCCCCAAACAATGGTAAAAAACAAAAACAAAAAACAAAAAAACAGTTATCCCACGCCAGGATTGCTTTATTGTTTTCATTAAATTATCCTTTGTTATGATAAGAACTTTCTAATTTCCTAGATAATTGAGGTCAGATCTGAACCACATTGAATACTAAAGATTTATTGAATGCCTTTATATGCCGGTGACATTGCCAAGCACTAGGAATATACGGGTGTATGGACATGCTCCTAGCATTCAAGAATACTTCAGTGTCTAGCATGAAGAATGATCCCTAATGAATGTCTGAAAGAATATTACCTCCCTGCTTCTCATTCCTGTGGATGGTTTTAGTTCCAAACCATAAATATACATGTAAAGGAGTGACCAGTTTTCACTGTGAGGACTCTGCTGTCAGAAGCTGTGAGTGAGAGCTGGTGACCTGTGTCAATAAGGATATTGAAATAGTATGACCGTCTATCAGAAGGGGACACCTGCTAACAGCTCTGCTGCTTTACTAAGTATCCGTAGCCCAAGCCTGCCATTCTAGAGTGGGTTTAGGTCTTCTTGGACAATACATACAATAAGAGACAAACTGGTTTTGCTTTGAGACGGCCTGTTTTGTTACCTGTATATTGTAAGGTTTGTTTTAGACCAGTGTTATGCACTAGTGTTGATCTTTTCTGTGATGCTATTATTTAAAATAGCTTGAAGCATTATTGTGGATGTGTTGTTGTATGTGTTCTTGTAGTTGACGCTGTTGTTTGTAGTAATGTAAAACATCAGTAAGTATAGTAATTAACTGTGCCAATTAACCTTCATTTTCAGGCATTATAATAAAACTATTTAAATATTTGTAAAACTGTTAGTGTGTTAAAACATTTTCAGGAAGTAAATAAAAAACTATATTTTATAGTTCCTTTTATCTTGCTTCCTAGTGTTATAGTTTACACATATACTACCATAACTTTTCTTTGATTCAGTTATGAAAAACAAAGTGAATATCCCAAATTTTAATATCTTTTTATATCTATATTCATTAATAGTAAACATTTTTTAAGCTTATGACATATATTTTTCCTCAAAGTTTTAACATAAAGCCATGTATCTTTCTCCATATCTAAATTTAAAAAAAAAAAAAAAGTAGAGCAAAAAAAAAATCTTACTTACAAAAGTAGGGGAATACTTATCCCTTTGACAAAACATCTTATTTTCTTCCTTTCTTTATAGAATGGCCTACCCGATACTCAAGCCAAGTTCCATATTATGTTTTTATTCTTTGCTGCAGCTATGTTTTCTGTCAGCTTGTCCTCTCTGTTTGGCTATCATTGTTGGCTAGTCAGCAAAAATAAATCTACATTAGGTGAGTATTCCATTATTGTAGTTAACAGAACTTTAAAGGCATAAATAGATACTCATCAAAAGTTGCCATATGATTAAATCCCAACCCTCCCTGATGTGGTAAAAAATCATTTTTATTCCCACACTGTTTTGTGGGATGGCGACTTAGACACCTACAAATGCACTTGTTCTGTATATTTATTGACTGTCCATTGTGTGTAAAGCATTGTGTATATATGGTGGTGAACAAGGACAAAATAGTCTAGTGAGGGGCACCAAAAATCAATAACCAAACATAAAAGTAATTGCAAAATGCAAAGTGCTATCTAGGAAACAAACAGGATGCTGAGGTGTGGATCCGGCTGGGGACTATGGAAGGGAACCTACTTAGAACGGTCAGGAAAGAGCTCACCAAAACAACAAGTATTTAACCTAAGAAGTCAGTCATGGTAAGAACCACATTTCAGGTAGAGAAAACAGTATGTTCAAAAGCCCTACAGAGGGGGCAGGCAGCTAAAACAGTGCTCAATGGGAAATGTATACCTAGCTATAAATGATTCCATTAAAACAGAAATATGTCAAATCAATTACTTTATATCTTAAGGAAGTACAAAAAGAACAGCAAAGTAAATCTGAAGCCAGCAAATGGTAGAAAATAACAAAGATTAGAAAGGAGATAACAGAGAATTTAAAAAAATAAAAGTTCATGGGGTGCCTGGGTGGCACAGTCTTGGTTAAGCATCAGACTCTTGGTTTTGGCTCAGGTCATGATCTTAGGGTCCTGGGATCGAGCCCCGTGTTAGGCTCCATGCTCAGTGGGGAGTCTGCTTGGGACTCTCTCTGCCTCTCCCTCTGCCCCTTCCCCTGCACTCTGTCTTTCTCTAAAAAATATATAAATAAATCTTTAAAAATAAATAAATTTTAAAAACTAAAAATAGAAGTTCAATGAAATCAATAATTGGTTCTTCAAAAATATCAACAAATTTTACAAGTCATTAGCTAGAAAGAAAAAATAAAGAAGACATTGCCAATGAAACTCAGTAATGAGAGGGGGATATTACTACTGAATTTACAGAAATAAAAAGGATTATGAGTGAATACCCTGAACAACAAAAAATTAGGTAGCCTAGATGAAATGGACAGACTCTGAGAAACACGCAAACTACTCTGCCCCTCTCCCTGCTCTCTCTCTCTCTCTTTCTTACATAAACACATAAATCTTAAAAAACAACAACAACAAACCTAAACAGACCTGTAACAAGGAAGGGGATTGAATCAGTAATCAAAAACCTCCCAACGAAGAAAAGCCCAGGACCAAATGGTTTCCCTGGTGAATTCCACCAAAAAAAATTAACGTAAATTTTTCTCAAACTCTGTCAGAAATTAGAAGAGAGGATAACACTTTGTAACTCATTCTATGAGGCCAGCATTGCTCTAATACCAAGACCAAACAAAGATGTCCAAGATAACTATAGACCAATATCCCTTATGAATATAGATACAAAAATCCTCAATATAATACTGGCAAACCAAATCTAGCAGTTTATAAAAAGGATTATATACTGTGACCAAATAGGATTTATCCCAGGAATGCAAGCATGTTTCAACATACAAAAATCAATCAACCACATTAATAGAATACACCACATTAATAGAGTGAAGAAAAAAAAAAACACGTGATCAATTCAACTGATGCAGAGAAAGTATTTGACAAAATTCAACACCCTTTTTTTTTAAATTTTTTTATTCTTATGTTAATCCGACAAAATTCAACACCCTTTTAAGATACCTTAACAAACTAGGGACACAAGGGAATTTCCTCAACACAAGGGGCTTCCTCAAGCTTTAAATGATAAAGTGCATTTATGAGAAATCTATAGCTAGTATCATACTCAATGGTGAAAAACAAAAATCCTACCCCTAAGACCAGGAACAAAACAAAGACTGCCACTTTTACTAGCATTATTTAACACTGTATTAGAAAATCTAGCCTGGAAAATTAGTCAAGAAAAATAAATAAAGCCATCCATATTGGAAAGAAAGAAGTAAAACTATCTCTCTTTGCAGATAACATGATCTTCTATATAAATAACCTTAAAGATACAATAATAAAAACAGAACTAATGAACAAAATCAGCAAAGTTGCATAAGATCAATATGAAAGAAATCAGTTGTATTTCCATACACTAGCAAGGAACCATCCAAAAGGAAATTAAAGAAACAATTCCATTTACAAAAGCATCCAACATAGTAAAATGCTTAGGAATAAATTTAACTGAGGAGGTACAGTAGGACACTGAAAACTACAAAGCTTGGCTGAACAAAATTAAAGACCTAGGTAAATGGTAAGACTTCCCATGCTCATATATTGGAAGACTTAATATTGTTAAGATGGCGATATGACCCAAAGTGATGTACAGAGTCAGGATGATCCTGATTACGATTTCAGTGGCCTTTCTTGCAGAAATGGCAAAGCTGATCCTCAAATTCCTGTGACATTGCAAGGCGCCCTGAATAGCCAAAATGGTATCCACCAAAAAATAAAACAAAGTTCTTCCTGATTTTAAAACTTAATACAAAATGACAGTGATCAAAACAGTGTGGTGTTGGCACAAGGATAACAATATAGACCAATGGAATAGAATGAGAGAATGAGCAATCCAGAAATAAGCCATACACCTTTGGCCAATTGATTTTCCACAAGAGTACCAAGACCATTCAATGAAGAAGATAATAATGTCTTAAATGGTGCTAAAACTATAAAACTCTTAGAAGGAAACATAAGGATAAACCGTCAGGACCTTAATATGGCAATGAATTCTTAGATATAATACCAAAAGCATGAGTAACAAAAGAAAAAGATAGATACATTGGACTCCACCAAAATTTTAAAAATGTGTGCATCGAAGGACATTGTCAAAATAGTAAAAAGACAACCTAAAGAGTGAGAATAATATTTACAAATAATTTATCTGATAAGGACCCAGTATTCAGAATATAAAAAGAAATCATACAACTCAACAAGAAAAAGACAGCCCAATTCAAAAAATTGGCAAAGAATTTGAGTAGGAATTTATTTATTTATTTTAAAGATTTATTTATTTTATTTATTTGAGAGAGGGAGAGAGAATGTCAAGCAGGTTCCCCACTGAGTGTGGAGCCTGACCTGGGGCTCAATCTCAGGACCCTGAGATCACGACCTGAGCCAAAACCAAGAGTCGGACGCTGAAGAGTCGGACTGAGCCACCCAGACGCCCCTGAATAGACATTTAAATAGACATTTCTCCAGTGAAAATATACAGCTGGCCAAAAAGCACATAAAAACATGCTCAACATCATTAATCATTAGGGCAGGGTAATCAAAACCATAGGTACTGCTTCGCACCCAAATCAACAAAATGTAAAGCAAGCATAGCTGAGGATGTGGAGAAATCAGAACCTTCACCCTTGGCTGCTAGGGATGTAAAATGGTGAATCCACTGTAAGCAACAGTGGCTGTCTCCTAAAAAGTTAAATATGAAATTATCATATGACCCAGCAATTGCACTCCTTGATATTTACCCCAAATAACTGAAAGCGGTGACTCCAACAGATAATTATATGTCAGTGTTCATAGCAGCACTCTTCACAATAGCCCAAAGATGGAAACAATCCAAATGTCCATGAAAGATGAATGGATAGAAAAAATGTGATATTTTCTAGACAATGGAATATTCTCAGCCATGAGAAGAAATGAGATACTGATGCACACTACAACATGCATGAACCTTAAAAAATTGCTAAGTAAGTAAGAAGCTGATCTCAGAAGGTTAATATTATATAGTTTCATTTATGTGAAATACCCAGATTAGGTAAGTCCATAGAAAAAGAAAGCATATTGGTGGTTTTCCGAGGATGAGAAGAAGGGAGAATAGGGAGAGACTGCTTAATGGATATGGAGTTTCTTCTGGAGTGATGAAAATATTTTGGAACTTGGTAATTAATTGCACAGAACTGTGAATGTACTAAATGCCATTGATTTGTTTATTTTAAAATAGTTAATTTTGTATTCTGTGAATCTCAGTCCAGTTTAAAAAAAAAAAAGTCCTATAGGAGAAAAGCTAGAAATATTTGTAACACTATCTACATGGCGAGAGCATAGAAAGCTAAAGAATGGAAAATATACTATGAGGTTTGAGAAGTAAGTAGGGACTAAGCTAAGTAGTATCTTCTAGACTAAGATTAGGAGTTCGGGAATGCAACCAGGACTTATAAATCCTTATGATCTCAAAGGACACTTCAAGCTAAGAGACACCATGATTATAGTAGTGAAGATTAATTATAGTATATAGTCAGTGAATGTTAATTTTTAACATTCAGGTGAAATCTTACTACAGCAAATATCGTTCAGGTGAACATATTGACCTAGTAATTTCTAAACAAAGCATCTTATTTCAAATTATATGTTGGATAATGAAATTATAATTCACCAGAAGAAAATGAATTATTTCTAAAAGTGTTTAATTTCTAGGAACTTCTAGATTTAACTTGTAACACTGAAAGGACTTCCTTTGGACGATACGGTCCTACAATTATAATAATGTTTTATTAAGAGCTATATAACCCAGGGTGACAAATGCTAAGGATCTTGCAAATTGTCACATTTTTCATAGTACTATGACTCTGTTAGAATTTTCTTTTTTAAATGATGGATAAAAAAAATCATTATACTTCTACGTTTGTTCCCCAAATAAAAGTTTAGATTTTGTCTCTCAGCATTATTTAAGAAGCATTTGTAGCATAATGGAAGGGACATTGATCACCTTGTTCACATTCCACTCTGTCATTTATTTGCTGTGTGATCTTGGACACATCCCACAGCCTCTCTGAACCTCGACTTCCATATGCAGAGTAGGTATAACCAGACACAGTGTTTGCTTCTGCACTGGATCCTGCTTCAGATAAGCCAGCTTTAAAGTAAATTTTTGGCCAGCTGGAAAAAAAATGTATGATTGGAGATAAGATTTAAATGAAATTGGAAAATGGAATGTATTGACTGAAAAAGGGAATTTGTAGAATGTATGTAAAGTACAGTCTCATCGGTTAAAAAGCAACTGTGTAGATTTGTGTATATCTATATCCATCCGTTCATCTATCCATCCATGCATCTAACTAAAAAAGGCCCAGAAGACGTAAAGTTTTAATTTATTTGCTTATTTGTGTTTTCTAATTTTTTTTGCAATGCACTGTGCTGCTGTAATAGTTAAATGATTCTTTAAAAACTAAAATAAATGTAATCATATCTTATGATTATTTTAAAACAGACCATCTGTGTTGCAGAGCTATTTATATGTCCATAAGCACTCACAAGAGGCTAGCCATCGATTTTTAGAGTTCCCTCATTTAGTCCAATAATTTTAACTATGGGGGTTCCTAGACACGTTCTGTACTCACCTGGTTGCTCTACCATCTTTTGTAGAGGCATTTAGAAGTCCTGTATTCCGACACGGAACAGATAAGAATGGATTCAGCTTGGGTTTCAGTAAAAACATGCGACAAGTTTTCGGTGATGAAAAGAAGTACTGGTTGCTACCCATTTTTTCAAGGTACTTTGTGGTGAAAATATTGAGGTTTTAAATCAGTGAAAGCAAACCGACAGAAGAACTATAACCCTGCAGAGGAATCCCTGTTCTTTAAAGATTTTTTATTTATTTATTTATTTGAGACAGAGAGAATGAGAGAGAGAGAGCACATGAGAGGGGGGAGGGTCAGAGGCAGAAGCAGGCTCCCCGCCGAGCAGGGAGCCCGATGCGGGACTCGATCCAGGGACTCCAGGATCATGACCTGAGCCGAAGGCAGTCGCTCAACCGACTGAGCCACCCAGGCACCCCTGGGATTTGTAATGTTTTTTTTTTTTTTAAGATTTTATTTATTTATTTGAGAGCGAGAATGAGAGACAGAGAGCATGAGAGGGGGAGGGTCAGAGGCAGAAGCAGGCTCCCCGCCGAGCAGGGAGCCCGATGCGGGACTCGATCCCGGGACCCCAGGATCATGACCTGAGCCGAGGGCAGTCGCTTAACCAACTGAGCCACCCAGGCGCCCCAGAATCCCTGTTCTTTAAAGAATTATTTTATGATTCACTGTTACATGGATGCAAAAGTCAGTTAACGCATCATCTCCTTACACATGCCATATGGAAGCCAATGTCTGTATCCACAAGATAACTGTGTTCTGCTCGCAGACATCACATTGTGGCAGTTTCAGTGCTGTTGCCTTGTTTACTGCTCAATTGTAAGTTTTAATTTTCATTATAGTCTAGGTGATGGCTGCTCCTTTCCAACTTGCCTTGTTAATCAGGATCCTGAACAAGCATCTACTCCAGCAGGATTGAATTCGACGTCGAAAAAGTAATTCCATATTTTTTTTCTGTTTTACTTTCAAATAATATGTCTTATCCTCCTATGTCCTTTGGCTATATATTTCTTTGAAAAAAGTTTAAGAACATAAGATAATTTACTATAATGGTTCCCACTTGGGGAATGAGGGAGAGAGGAAAGTACGGTTGGGGAAGGGGATGTAGAGAGCTTCAAGTATAACTGATTTTTAAAAGGTAGTGCTTAAAAGAAGAGAATTAAAGTCCAAATTAGCTCCCTTAGTGATCAGGTGAGCAGACGGTAAACTTGCCCTCTGACCCTCCAGGTCCTTTCTGTCTGTGGTAATTGTAACATTATAACAAGATCAGGAGAACGTCCCTGGATTAAGCTTTTGGAGATCAAATGGAATCCCCAACACCTGCTTGATAGTGCACCATGTTCTTAATGCTTGTTAAAAACCTGTAAACATTATCTGAGCCATTTTGGTGGAAAGAGAAGGGAAGGAGTCTTGGGAATTTAGTATCTGGAGACTTTTGCCCTTGCGTGACGTCTGTTCTGGTTCCAGTCTTCCAAGAATTTGAGGAATATCTCGAAATTTGGTTTCGACTTTGGTACTAACTGGCAAAAGGCAAAACTACTTAAAATTTTTACATGCTATGTATGAATTTGTAAGTTTGAAACACTAATTTTTATATGTTTAAGATAGATTTATTTGAATATGGCCATACCTCTAATTTTTAAATGAAAGCTGATAGCAAGAGCATAACCATAATATCCTTCTTAATTTTAGAAATGTTCTCAGTTGCTGGAATGTCATGCACGTAACAGCTGTATCTACACTCCTCCCATCTCATGTGGATTTCTTATCGATCCACAATACTTCCTCTGGTGGAGCCTGTCATGACCCCAGAGTTCTTCTTGAGTCAGTGACCCTGGTCGCCATTCCAAAACATTTTAAATTGTCACGAGATGAAGCCTATTTGCCACCCCATCCCTAGAGTGACCTTTGTACAGACTCAACAAGTTAATAAGGAGGCCATTCTGATGTGATTTATAGGGACATTCAAAGGCACCAGAGTCTCACTGGGGCATGCCCTCTGAGTTTTGTCTTGACCATTCAAGGGTTAAGGGTTTTTCTTATATCTTGATGCAGAAAAATCTCATTTGAATAGATTATTTGGAATGTTTTCAGGTTTTTATAAAGTTTACTAGTAGCTCTCAATAATGTTTTTTGCCTTTTGAGTGGTTTTTATAGTTCAAGGAGATTTGGGTTTCTGAGGTAGTATCTCTCCTTCTACTAAGTGTACCATAGGCTTTAGGAGAAATCCTAGTTGTGGCACTGTTGCCCAGTTAGGTAATCTCATAACCACTATGGGCTTCTCTTCCCTTTCCTTTAAATTTTGGGATTGAATTTTGACAGCTAAAGTATCTTTTACATAATTCTATCATTTCCCCTGATCAGCCCATATAAAATTGGTATGGCAAGTGATGATGTCTCTTCTGTACTCTAGAGTTTTATGTCTGGCTGTCTACTCCACATTCCCACTTAAATATCTAAAAGTCATCTCCCACTGAACAGGTGCAAAGCAGAACTCTTGATTGCCAGACATTGACACCCTCACCTTCAGCTCAAATCTGATTCTCCCCCATTCTTCCGTATGTCATATTAGTGACCCTCAGTCTCTCAGGTGCTCCGGCCAGGAACTGTGGAGTCATCCTAGATTCCTTTTTCAATTACCTTGCATTTACTCCATTTGCAAATCCTTTCACATGCCCCTTCAAAATATGCCAATAATCCCAGTACTTTCTTACCACCTTCAGACTGCTTTCTGGTCCGAGCCATCATTTCTCACATAGATTATTTCCATGCCTTCCTTACTGATCTTTCTGATTCCATGTTTGCCCTACTTCAGTCTGTTCTCCATTAAGAATCAGATTGTGTCACTCTCATGCTCAGAACCCTCTGTTGGCTTCCTATCTTAATCAGCATAAAAGTGAATGCGTGTCCTTACCTTGTTGGGTCTAATCTGGCCTCAGTATCTCTCTGATGTCATCCCGTGCCACTTTTCCCATCACTCACCATCCTCAGACACACAGATCTTGCTCGTCCTCAAATATACCAAGCTTGTCCCTTATTTAGTGCCTTTGTACTTGCCAGTTCCTCTTCCTAACCATTTTTCCTCCAGGTATCTGAATGCTCTTTGACCTTCTCTTACTCACTTCTAGCTCAGGTGTAACTTCACGATAGAGGCCATCTTTGAAAACCCTTTGTAAAATAGCTCCTCAACTTCCCCATACCTCTCTTTTTCTATTGTCATGGCTCTTACTGTCACCTTACTGAGTTATTATATATTTGCTATTTACTATTATTCCTCCTCAATTACAATGACATTTCCATGTGATCAAAGACTATATTCATGGATGTAATCGGTACTTAATGAATACTGTTGAATGAATGGATCCTTCTTTGCCATTTGTTAGTCTTATTAGTAGTAACCAATATGAAAGGAGTCCCTAAACCAGGACCTAGTTAGTATGCTGTACCTGGTATATGGTCCCTCTCTTGAAGAAAAATTAGAGTAAAAGAGGGGTTTTTTTTAATATAAATAGACATGCTTTTTATTTTTTTAAGATTTACCTCTAAAATTTCAATAAGGGGATGTTAAAGTTGCACAAAATTGAATTATTTTCAAATTTTAGATATGAGGTAATTATTAAGGAACAAAAGCATATCCTTTCAAAAATATAGTATAGTCAACTCACATATGTGAAATTATTCTTGGAAGAATTTTAAGTATTTTTTTTCTTTTGAACATTATTGTGATTACTATTTCAGGGTGTTCTAAAACTACACTTACAGTTTCTATGCCAATATTTTTTTCTATCTAAGTGAAATGCTATTTTAATTTATATTTTTTATGCCATTCAATATGTTGATATGTAGCATGTCTACTTAAATTTTAAAACTTATATTCTTCTTTTAAGACTCTTTATTCCCCAAATTAAATGTCACATTTGTAAGACCTGGTGATGTCAGATGTTTTCAACATTTCTGCAAGACAGTGCTCAAATTTGTTGTTTCAGTTTCATAGAGGAAGATAGAGAATTCTTTGTTCAAGACTAGTTAGGCCACTTTAGAAACACTAGGCCATTTTTTCTCAAACTTGTCTTCCTACCATTACTTTCATATATTTTTTTCCATATCCACATACCACTTATAAAACTAATATTTTTATTTTATATATTTAGTTAAATTGGCATTGAAGCTTATTTTTAAATCAAACATTATGTCACTCTCATAAATGAAAACTAGTATAATTTGCCATAAATAGAATATAACTTAAAAAAATAAAATTGATAATAAAATACTATTAAATTCTAACTAGACTCCCTCACATGCTAAAGCCAGAGGCAGAAGCCTATTCTCTGTATTAAAAACGGAGACTTGCCAAAGTTACAGATTGTCATCTTACTGTATTCAGAAGAATGAAAAGAGAATGGAAGGAAGAACGGTTTTCTCGTTGCGAGTCAGTGTGATACATGCCTTATTCTCTATGCCCCAAATTCTCTTGGGAAGTGGTTTGAATTCTGCACTTTAAGAAACACTCCACTCAATACTATCAAGAACTAACATATGATTATGATGATGATTATGATTGTTCAGTCCTGAAAACCATCAGTTTCCTGCAAAGCCATTGCGAGAGTCCCAGAGCCACCTTCTCACTGATTCTCAGTCTTGGACAGAGAGCAGCACAAACCTGGGGAAAGGCAAAGCTGGTAAGGGTCTGCTTAACTTGGCTGTTTTTAATAGATTTTATTTATAAAAGGTGAAAGGAGTGCAAAAATGCCAGAATATTACCTACAGAATCTTTCTTGCTTTAGAGTTGAACTCCCATTGTAAATTTAGAATTATCTTCAGGAACTTTTGTTTGTAAAGTACTTTGATTAAGGTCTCTTAGCTGCAGAAGGTCATTTTGTGAAAGATCTGCATTGCTTTTATTCCAGCTTAAGAAACCAATAATTTCAAATACTGCCTATTTAATAAAATGATACATATACTCAAATTATACATATTTAATGGAAAATGTAATCAATTCAGACAAAAGATTGAAAAATATCTGGTAAAACGGATCTTAAATTATATGGTTCTTTTACTCAAAGATTTCCATCCAGTTTCAAAACGTCAAAGTAAAGTTACTGCGTAATTACCATAACTTCAGCTGTTATTTCTTCAGATTCCACTCACATTTCCCTTGTTATCGTTGTTGATTTTAATCTTTGACTACTTCAGTCAATATAGCTTATTGGCAAAGAAAAGGCAAGGCTTTGAAGTCAGACCTGATTTTAAATCCCAATTTGGACACCTAATCTGTGTGTGATATTTGTAGTAACCTAACCTCTTTTAGATGTAGCTTTCTTTCTTTTTTTTAAAAAAGATTTTATTTATTTATTTGAGAGAGAGAGCATGAGTGGGGTTAGGGGCAGAGAGAGAGGGAGAAGCAGGCTCCTCACTGAGCAAGGAGCCCGACGTGGGGCTCGATCCCAAGACCCTGAGATCATGACCTGAGCCAAAGGCAGACGCTTAACTGAATGTGCCACCCAGGTGCCCCTAGATGTAGCTTTCTTTCTTTAAAATGCTACTTATTTCTCAGGATTGGTGAGGATTAACCAAAATGTGTGATCATACCTGCAGGTGTATGTATATATGTATGTTGTGTCCCTATAAATAAGTATAAAACCATACATCCATGATTAAGGCACTATTAGCCAGAAAAATCTCTCCTTTATTTCTAGTCCTTTCTTCAAACTCTCTCCTAGTGCTGCCTGACTTTGACTCCCTGCACTTTATTTATTTATTTAAGACTTTATTTATTTATTTGAGACAGAGAGCATGAGAGAGAGAGAACTCGAGCAGGGGGAAGGGCAGAGGGACAGGGAGAAGCAGGAGATGTGGGGCTTGATGCAGGGCTTGATCCTTGGACCCTGGGATCAGGACCTGAGCCGAAGGCAGACACTCAACTGACTGAGCCACCCAGTGCCCCGGCTCCGTGCACTTTAAAGTGTTTGTTGTTTTATTTGAAATCTCTTTGGGATTTAGTGATAGTGAAAAATAGTCCTAAGTAAAAATTCTAAAGTCACTAATTAATATACAGTCATATTCTCCTAAAATACAGGCTTTCTTTAAAGAATCTTGTTCTTAAGGAAAATAAATGCCCTCCAAAGGTGCCCATCGTGTGGGTATCCATAATTTGGTCTCTTAACCTTCAAGTCTGCCATTCCATCTTCCAATCTATGGGAAGAACTAGACATTGCCTAAACGGAAATTGATGCCACCTATTAGCCCTTTGAATCCATCAGTTTCCTTAGAGGCAAAGAAGTGATGTATAGTTGGGGGTCAATTTTCCGGGGGTAGAAAGACAAAGAGCTCCCTTTCTTTCTGAAGGGATTCATGTTGCCTCATATAGTTCTGTATTAACATAGAAGCGATTTCTTAGTTTCTGTGTGCTGTTAATCATTTGGCATGTTAGGTTAATTTTCTGTTACTTGTATGGATGAATTGGGAACTTATTTAAAGTTTAAAGGGTGCTGGGGTAGGGGGAAAGATGGCGGAGGAGTAGGGGACCCTATTTCAACTGGTCCCCAGAATTGAGCTGGATATCTACCAGACCACTCTGAGCACCCACGAAACCAGCCTGAGATGTAAGAAGATCTGGATCTCTACAAGCAGAATATCGCAGGCGGTTGGTTTTGAGGTCCGAAGCGGGGAGCCGTGATTCCGCGGGCAGATATCGGAGGATAAACGGCAGCGGGAGGGTGCCTGGCCATGGGGAGCCTACACCACTGGTGAGTGACAGCCTCACGCGCTGCAGACGGGGCACAGACTCGCAGACCAGTAGCTGCGGGGAAAGGACCTTAGGACAGCCCCCAGGGTGGAAACGCGGAGCGGTGGGGTCACGTGCGCATGAACTGGGAGCGGCTGGCGGTTTTAGAAGCACAAAGGGCAGAGACGTGCCCCGACCTGGAGGCAGGACCCGGAGCACCGCGGAGGGGCGCACAACCCAGGACGCTGCAGTTTATAGCAGCAGGGACAGAAACGGAGACGGTATGGGCAGGAGAGCTCACTGAAGAACAGACTGCGATCTCTCCACTCCGAGGCAAAGGGTTGGAAACGGTCTCTTCTGCTCTGACTCACAGAAGAGACGCGGAAAGCCACCAGGGAAAGGCGCCAGAGAACAAAAGCCCCAAAGACTGATTCCCACTGAGCCCATCCCCCACCACAGGGGGGCAGGGCAACTCCGCCCAAACAGGGTTGCCTGAGTAACAGTGCAGCAGGCCCCTCCCGCAGAGGACAGGCTAGGAAAACAAGAGGCCAGCAACCCTGAGGTCCCAAGAAAACAGGTGCATCTTGCTTGGGTTCTGGTCAATAATTTGGACTCTATATATTCCCTCAAACACCCGTCAACAGAATGACTAGGAGGAGGAGCCCCCAAAATAGAAAAGACTCAGAGATTATGACTTATGCTGCAGATTTACAAATGGATGCAGATATAACCAAGATGTCAGAGATGGAATTCAGGCTAGCAATTGTGAAGACAATGGCTAGAATGGAGAAATCAATTAATGGCAACATAGAGTCTCTAAGGGCAGAAATAAAAGGTGAATTGGCAGAACTTAAAAATGCCGGCAATGAGATCCAATCCAATCTAGATAATCTAACAGCTAGGGTAACTGAGGCAGAAGAGAGAATAAGCAACCTGGAAGACAATATAATAGATAAAAAGGGAAAAGAGGAGGCCAGGGTAAAACAACTCAGAATCCATGAAAATAGAATCAGAGAAATAAGTGACATCATGAAGCATTCCAATGTCAGAATAATTGGAATCCCGGAGGGGGTGGAGAGAGAGAGAGGACTAGAAGATGTATTTGAGCAAATCGTAGCTGAGAACTTCCCTAATCTGGGGAATGAAACAAACATTTCAGTCCTAGAGGCAGAGAGGACCCCTCCTAAGATCAAGGAAAACAGGCCAACACCCCGGCATGTAATAGTAAAACTCGCAAATCTTAGAACCAAGGAAACCAACTTAAGGGCAGTTAGGGGGAAGAGATTCCTTATGTACAGAGGGAGGAACATCAGAATAACGTCAGACCTATCCACAGAGACCTGGCAAGCCAGAAAGGCCTGGCAAGACATATTCAGGGTACTAAATGAGAAGAACATGCAGCCAAGAATACTTTATCCGGTAAGGCTTTCATTTAGAGTGGAAGGAGAGATGCAGAGCTTCCACGACTGGCAGAAACTGAAAGAATATGTGACCACTAGGCCAGCCCTGCAAGAAATATTAAGGGGGGTTCTATAAAAGGAGAAAGACCCCAAGAGTGATCTACAACAGAAATTTACAGGGACAATCTATAAAAACAACGTCTCCACAGGCAACATGATGACAATTAATTCATATCTTTCAATAATCACTCTCAACGTGAATGGCCTAAACGCTCCCATAAAATGGCATAGGGTTGCAGACTGGATAAAAAGACAGGACCCATCCATATGCTGTCTACAAGAGACTCATTTTGAACCTAAAGATACATCCAGACTGAAAGTGAAGGGATGGAGATCCATCTTCCATGCCAGCGGATCTCAAAAGAAAGAAAGCTGGGGTAGCAATTCTTATATCAGACAAATTAGATTTTAAACTGAAGTCTGTACTAAGAGACACAGAAGGACACTATATCATTCTTAAAGGGTCTATCCAACAAGAAGATCTAACAATTGTAAATACCTATGCCCCCAACATGGAAGCAGCCATCTACATAAGCCAACTGTTAACCAAAATAAAGAGTCATATTGATAACAATACGTTAATTGTAGGAGACCTCAATACTCCACTCTCAGCAATGGACAGATCATCTAAGCAGAAAATCAACAAGGAAACAAGAGCTTGGAATGATACATTGGACCAGATGGACCTCATAGATATTTACAGAACATTCCACCCTAAAACAACAGAATATTCATTCTTCTCGAGCACACATGGAACTTTCTCCAGAATAGATCATATACTGGGTCACAAATCAGGTCTCAACCGATACCAAAAGATTGAGATTATTCCCTGCATATTCTCAGACCACAATGCTCTAAAACTGGAACTCAATCACAAGAAAAAATTTGGCAGAAATTCAAACACTTGGAAGCTAAAGACCACTCTGCTCGAGAATGTTTGGGTCAACCAGGAAATCAAAGAAGAACTTAAACAATTCATGGAAATCAATGAGAATGAAAGCACATCGGTCCAAAACCTATGGGATACTGCAAAGGCGGTCCTAAGAGGGAAATACATAGCCATCCAAGCCTCACTCAAAAAAACAGAAAAATCCCGAATTCACCAACTAACTCTACACCTTAAAGAACTAGAGAAAAAGTAACAAACGATGCCTAAGCCACGCATTAGAAGAGAAATAATTGAAATTAGAGCAGAAATCAATGAATTAGAAACCAGAAACATAGTAGATCAGATCAACGAAACTAGAAGTTGGTTCTTTGAAAGAATAAGATTGATAAACCACTGGCCAGACTTATCCAAAAGAAAAGAGAAAGGACCCAAATTAATAAAATTATGAATGAAAGGGGAGAGATCATGACTAACACCAAGGAAATAGAAACAATTACTAGAAATTATTATCAACAACTATATGCCAATAAACTGAGCAATCTGGATGAAATGGAGGCCTTCCTGGAAACCTAAAAGCTGCCAAGACTGAAACAGGAAGAAACTGACAACCTGAATAGGCCAATAACCAGTAATGAGATTGAAGCAGTCATCAAAAACCTCCCAAAAAACAAGAGTCCAGGGCCTGATGGATTCCCTGGGGAATTCTACCAAACATTCAAAGAAGAAATAATACCTATTACCCTGAAGCTGTTTCAAAAAATACAAACAGAAGGAAAGCTTCCAAACTCATTCTATGAGGCCATTATTACCTTAATCCCCGAACCAGGCAAAGACCCCGTCAAAAAGGAGAATTTCAGATGGATATCCCTAATGAATAAGGATTCCAAAATCCTCAACAAAATCCTAGCTAATAGGATCCAACAGTACATTAAAAGGATCATCCACCATGACCAAGTGGGATTTATCCCCGGGATGCAAGGGTGGTTCAACATTCGCAAATCAATCAATGTGATAGAACACATTAATAAGAGGAGGGAGAAGAACCATATGGTCCTCTCAACTGATGCAGAAAAAGCATTTGACAAAATACAACATCCTTTCCTGATTAAAACTCTTCAGAGTATAGGGATAGAGGGAACATTCCTCAAGTTCATAAAATCCACCTATGAAAAACCCACAGCGAATAGCATCCTCAATGGGGAAAAGCTGAGAGCCTTTTCCTTAAGATCAGGAACACGTGAAGGATGCCCACTCTTGCTACTATTGTTCAGTATAGTACTAGAAGTTCTGGCAACAGCAATCAGACAACAAAAAGAAATAAAAGGTATTCAAATTGGCAAGAAGTCAAACTCTCTCTTTTTGCAGACGACATGATTATTTTATGTGGAAAACTCAAAAGACTCCACCCCCAAATTACTAGAACTCCTCCAGCAATCCAGTAATGTGGCAGGATACAAAATCAATGCACAGAAATCAGTTGCTTTCTTATACACTAACAACGCAACTGTAGAAAGAGAAATTAGAGAAACGATTCCATTTACAACAGCACCAAAAACCATAAGATACCTCGGAATAAACCTAACCAAAGAAGTAAAGGATCTATACTCTAGGAACTACAAAACACTCATGCAAGAAATTGAAGAAGACACAAAAAGATGGAAAAATATCCCATGCTCATGGATTGGAAGAATAAACATTGTTAAATGTCTATGCTACCCAGAGCAATCTATACTTCAATGCCATCCCGATCAAAATTCCAATGACATTTTTCAAAGTGCTGGAACAAACAATCCTAAAATTTGTATGGAATCAGAAAAGAGCCTGAATCACCAAGGAAATGTTGAAAAAGAAAAACAAAGCTGGGGAATCACATTGCCTGATTTCAAGCTATATTACAAAGCTGTGATCACCAAGACAGCATGGTACTGGCACAAAAACAGACACATAGACCAATGGAACAGAATAGAGAACCCAGATATGGACCCTCAACTCTATGGTCAAATAATCTTTGACAAAGCAGGAAAAAACATGCAATGGAAAAAAGACAGTCTCTCCAATAAATGGTGCTGGGAAAATTGGACAGCCACATGCAGAAGAATGAAACTCGACCATTCTCTAACACCATTCACAAAGATAAACTCAAAGTGGATGAAAGACCTCCATGTGAGACAGGAATCCATCAAAATCCTAGAGGAGAACATAGGCAGTAACCTCTTTGATATCGCCCACAGCAACTTCTTTCAAGATACATCTCCAAAAGCTAGTGAAACAAAAGCAAAAATGAACTTTTGGGGCTTCATCAAGATAAAAAGCTTCTGCACAGCAAAGGAAACAGTCAACAAAACAAAGAGGCAACCCACAGAATGGGAGAAGATATTTGCAAATGACACTACAGATAAAGGGCTGGTATCCAAGATCTTTAAAGAACTTCTCAAACTCAACACCCAAAAAACAAATAATCAAGTCAAAAAGTGGGCAGAAGATATGAAAAGACACTTCTCTGAAGAAGACATACAAATGGCTAACAGACACATTAAAAAATGTTCATCATCATCAGCCATCAGGGAAATCCAAATCAAAACCACATTGAGATACCACCTTACACCAGTTAGAAGGGCAAAAATGGACAGGGCAAGAAACAACAAATGTTGGAGAGGTTGTGGAGAAAGGGGAACCCTCTTACACTGTTGGTGGGAATGCAAGTTGGTACAGACACTTTGGAAAACAGTGTGGAGGTTCCTCAAAAATATAAAAATAGAGTTACCCTATGACCCAGCAATTGCACTACTCGGTATTTACCCCAAAGACACAGATGTAGTGAAAAGAAGGGCCATATGCACCCCAATGTTCATAGCAGCAATGTCCACAATAGCCAAACTGTGGAAAGAGCCGAGATGCCCTTCAACAGATGAATGGATAAAGAAGATGTGGTCCATATATACAATGGAATATTACTCAGCCATCAGAAAGGATGAATACCCAACTTTTACATCAACATGGATGGGACTGGAGGAAATTATGCTAAGTGAAATAAGTCAAGCAGAGAAAGTCAATTCTCATATGGTTTCACTTATTTGTGGAACATAAGGAATAGCATGGAGGACATTAGGAGAAGGAAGGGAGAAATGAAGGGGGGGAATCGGAGGGAGAGATGAACCATGAGAGACTACGGACTCTGAGAAACAAACAGGGTTTTAGAGGGGAGGGGGGATTGGTTACCTGGTGATGGGTATTAAGGAGGGCATGTTCTGCATGGAGCACTGGGTGTTATACGAAAACAATGGATCGTGGATCACCACATCAAAAACCAATGATGTATTGTATGGTGACTAACATAACATAATAAAATTTAAAAAAAAATAAAGTTTAAAGGGTGCTATAAAACAAGGAAGACAAACGTGAGAAGGACGAGGTGAGAAAGGGCTCAAAGATTAGTTTCACCAGAATGAGGGAGGGAAATGTAGAATTAGGAAGAGCACTCTAAGATGATGTGAGAATTGCCAGCTCCAGTGTATCTTTCATGTTTTTGTTCACCCCTCCCACTTCCTAAGGTGTATGTCTCTTTTTATGTATTTATTTTTTTAGAGAGGGAGAGACAGGGGGAGGGGCAGAGGGAGAGAGAGAATCCTAAGCAGATTCCACGCCCGGTGCGGAGCCCCAGGCAGGTCTGAATCCCATGACCCTGACATCATGACCTGAGCGGAAATCAAGAGTCCAATGCTTAACCGACTGAACCATCCAGGCACCCCTATATATCCCTTTTTAAAGTGCCTTTTGTGACACTGGTAGTTGCCAACACTGTAGTGTGTGTGTGTGTGTGTGTGTGTTTCTATGTGACCATCTTACAAACCTGTGTTATGTGCAGGACACCTCTGGAATCATATTGGGGGGATTCAGGGATGAATAAACAAGTCTCTGCCTTATTTGTTCAAAAGCAACACCCCCTTGCAAACAAAATGCTAATTTACCTTCTTTCTTGAAGGTATGAGCAATCCTGCATTAACCATGGAGAATGAGACTTAACTCTTCAAACAAAATAAATTCATACTTTATGAAAGTAAGTTGATTTTCCTTTATTGTTATGTTTTATACTTTTAACAGCTTTTCAGTTCTCTTAGGGCAAATAGTTACCATAAACATTATTATTTGTTTTTGAGTGATTGAAATTTTAAGATGCTTTAGTTCACACTTAGGATACTATTAATCATGCTGGAGACTTCTGAATGTGGACCTAACTTTGGTGTTAGCTAGTATGTAATGTTAACTTGACAAATGATAGAAATAAGTTGATGAACAAAATTCATTTTTTATAGAAATGCACTAAATGGCAAGGACTGTTTCTAAAATATTGAACTTTACATGATGATTTTCTAGTCATATGATAGGATATTGCAATTGTTTATTTTTATTTTTTTCTATCCTTCCAATATACAGTGGTTATAACTTCACCGTCTATCAGTAGAATCTCAGTGGGTCTAAGTGCAAGATAATTATATCTTGTTGGTGAAAACCTCCCTCATCCCTATTTTTGGTTACAGTAGGACCCCATAGCAGGTGTTATCCTTAAAATAACAAGTGTTCCCAAATCATTTTCTTTAAACCATAAATTTTTTTAAACCTGTTGCTCCAAATCAATTAAATAATCTTTAAGAGATTATTTATTTATAAACCTGCAGTCAATACAATAAAGAGCCCCTTTGGAACAAAGGCCATAAACACCCAAACAAAACAAACTATATGTATTGTTAGAATAAACCTAGTGTAGAGTTGCACAGTAAAGTTATCAAGACAAATCTTTATTTATAAAACTGCAATCCTGAATCCTAAAGTCTAAAGAAAGCAAGAGAGGGGAATCTGAAACAAAATAATTTGTGTCAAAGTACTTCACCAATATCTGTTTTTTTTCTTTGTTTTTAATCCCAAAAATCTGTTTGTTTTTTAAATGTTTCTTTGTTTTGTTTTGGTTTTTATGAGTAGCTATGTAATATCAGCAAAATACTGATCTGGCAGCTTGCCAGATGACTATTGTTTTGGTTTTGGGTCACTGTAGTGATGGTGTAGTTGATCAGATTAATCATAACTATGGTTAGGATAGTGAAAATTTAATCTTAATTTGGTTAAGCAGCAAAGAGACAATATTAATTTTCTTGAAGTAATTCTTAAAATGTTACTATGAATACACAAATCTAAATCACTAATACCACAAATAAAATATTTTACAGAAATAATTCTATAAAGCATATAAGGTTTCACAGGATTGTTTTTCAGTGTTTTGAATCGTTAGTTCTAATTACCAATGTTTGTGAGGTCATATATGTTAAATATTTTACAAGTTTACATAGTAATATTATGTGTAAGTCATGTAGACTTCCCAGTATTTTGACACAAGACCAATGTGGTTTGATCATCATTATTCTCAACACTTTACACAATACCTGACACATAGTAGGTTCTAAATAAGCATTTTGTAAATAAATGATAGAATAACATCATTAAAATTAAAAATCTCACAGAAACTTGATTTTATTACATATGAATATATGACATTAGTGGTCATAATAACCAAATGGCAGCATGAATCAGCTGTGGTGTAAAAAAAACAATAATTTTGTGATGTAATGTTTTCATTCTATTGATCTAACCAGTGACATTTAAATGTTTCTTTAAAAAATTGAATTTTCCCAAGGTAGCTACTATTCCAAATGGTTTTTAAAAGTTTCAAAAACAGTTTTTCCTGCTTTACATTTCAGACTTGCAATTTGTTCAAGTTATATATTATTATATATTATATTGAATAATATTATCTGATATTGCTATGCTTAATTTAATTATATTACCAAATGGTATTTTCATATTCTCTTTTCTTTTTGAAGTACATTAGTAAATTATCTGTGGGATTTTTATAAAATATTAATTCATCATACTTTACAGATAGTTATGTACCTAGACCCATAGCAACACTAATATGTAAGTTACATTTAGCCTTTTCAACCTTCCCTCTTATTCAAGTAAAAAATGCTGTGCTTGTATGCACATGAAATTTCAAAATTATTTTCCTAAATCCCTATTCCAACTCAGCTGTCACTCCTAAACTCCTACTGGCCTCAAACACACATAGAAAGGAACCCTACCGCTCAAATCGGGGCCCCAAAACCAGCAGCATCGGCATCAGCTGGGAGCTCAATAGAAATGTATAATTTTGGACCTTACCCTAGAACTACTGAATCAGAATCTGCATTTTCTGCATTTTAACAAAATCCTCTGGTCTTGTAATATGCACATTATAGTTTGAGAAGCACTGTTGTAGAGGTCTGTATTCAAGAGCATATCTGAGCTTTCTAGCCTAGAAAACATTTAATTTTGAACAAAGAATGCTATTCAACAAATGTTGAATGAGTTGGTTAGTTTTTTGTTTTTTATAGTTCACACAATAGTTTCATGATTTCTGTTTCATTTCAAGGTATCAATGCTGTAGGTGGATGGAAGAGGCTTCCCACTGGAAGGCACCATTGGCCTGTTGTTCCCATTTCCCTTTGGCTGGATATGCAGAATATGAATTGGTTAGTTCTCTCCAAGCCGTTGCTTAAAACATAACACCTTTTTAAATCCAATATACAGATTGTTTCAACTAACACAAATTCTTGTTAAATATTAGAAGTAATTAAAGTTTATGGATCAAGGGCAAAAATATCTTCTATCATAAAAACTTGGAATAAATTCATGGGCTAATTTTCAACCAAATGTTTGGGTAGTACAGTGTATACACATAAAAAGCCCATTAATCATCTGATTTTCTGATTCAGAAAATTGAGCCTATTAAGATACTGAAATTTAAAAGATTTCAAATTATGGTATAATGACAGCTTTATTTGTTACCTGTGAGGTGGAGGTAGCATTATCAGACTTGTTCCTTCCCTCTGTTGTGAATCCAGCCCCAGACTGAGTGAACTAGAATGACTATGAATTCATTGCAAATTTTAAGTAGCCTTGAAGATTACCACCATTTTTGCCAGACTTTAATTCTAGCCTTTGTTCACCGCGGGAAAAGAAGTACGATCATTGAAGCCTGAGCTCACTGATAAGCAACTAGCTAGCAAATTTTTGTCACAACTAATACATTACTATTACATCCAAATTTTTGTCACGACTAATACATTACTATTACATCCAAAATTTATTTTTCATCTCTTCTGACCTTCTTAAATTGGGGGAAAATCTATAAAAACAATTACGAAGATTGGTTTATGATGTTCTTTTGCGTCTTTTTTAAAAAAAAAAACCTCAATTTTTTTAGGTTATTTGTTCTCTTGAACATTGCAAAAATATTGAATTTGTTGAGAATTCTTAATGGGCCACTAGATTAATCCTCCATTGATATCTGTATTATTTCTGTGTCCCCTCATCGAAAGTATGACAGTTAAACTTTATAGTTCTTCAGATACTTAAGATTAAATTATGCAAATCATTAAAAGAAATCATATACTTTTAGAAATTTAGTTCAATATGAACTAAATGGTGTGCTGTTTGGAAATTGAGTTTAAGGTAAACAAACTAAAGTGGCATGTTTGTTGATGCCAAAATGTTCGGCTTCAGTAAATATACTAGGAAGCTCTCGTGCCTTGTATGCACTATTTGAAAAAGTTTTATTCTTTTTTTTGAGTGGAGTGTAAGTTTTGTAAATGTTAGAGATTAGAATAAGCCGTAAACATTTTTTGGTACTGATTTTGAGAATTTAAAGCAGATTATCTTTTAAACTTACACAGCTAAGGAACTGGTATTTAATCAAAGAGAAAATGGTATTAAACTTTTTAAAATCTGAGTTAGACAAAAATGCAACACATAATAGACTAGTAGATCAGAGGATAATGGAGTAAAAAAGATCCTTGCAAATACTCATTCTTTCTAAAAATGTAAAGTTTTATATTTAAATGAGTTTGTGAAACAGTCAACATCAGCCAAATCCATTTTATAGATCATTTGAGTGTAATTCTTAGAATAATAGGATGGCACTCTTTTCAGATTTTTTTTTTTTCTTTTTTTAAAAGCTAAAGACTTTGATCTGACAATCTGTTTCAGGAAATCTCAGAAGATATGATGCATTTTTTACTTTTTACTCTTAAAGCATTTTTTGGTCATCATTGTTTTATTACCTGAAGTGCCAGATTGGAACCTGTAGGTACTGCTGAAAGTCTTAAGGACAACAGCATCACGTGATGTATTAAGAATTATATGCAGCCAAGTTATTTTCAAAGCACAGTACTATGGCCATTTTTGTGGACAGGATTCTGTGGTATGTTCCTTCTTGTCAAAATAGAAGATAAGAAAAAAAAGAGGGGTTTTTATTCCTTACCTTGCTAGAGTACTGTTAAATTTTTCCTTTAGGCCTTTTGTGTAATTATTGAAATACATGAGTGGGTACACATTAGAATCAGATTCAAAAAAAAAAACTTTTACAAATAAATTTTTTCCATTAAGTTGTAATGGTTCCTTTTGTTTTCATACAGTGGATAATCTTTTAAGGGTTTTTGTTTTGTTTTTAATCTAGATGGTTTATCATTTTTAGAGATGATGGCATATCTCATTAGATATACAGTGTAAAGTTTACCTGAGTGAATAAAGCATCAAATAGACCTACATTTTGTACATATTTATAAAATATACCTTAAAAACACTTTAAACATTTTGTTTTAAAACATTTAATTGTTCGACTCAAACTTGAAGACACTTACACTTCAACTATCCGGATAGTCCATTTAGCTGATAATTTTGATTTTTTCCCTGTTTTTAAAAATTCTACCATATAGGTAAAATTTTTAAGAATTTTTTTTTAAATATTGTACAAATACTTCATATACTTTAGTTCACTATTTGCCATTGTGCAAAAGAGGGTTTGTATTTTCAAAGATAAACTTATTGCATCTAAATACAATGATGGGACATTCAAGGCAGTGCTTATCCATGAATTCCCTCCTGTTCTACCATAATAAAGTCTGGTTGATCACCTTTACTAGCTGTCTAAATGAAATTGCCTTTGCACTGACAATCGGAATCGCTTTAAAGATACACTTTTCCTAATCGTCTACCAGAGCTACTACAGACAAAATGGATCGACAAACCTGGTCAGAACATAGGTCTTTTGAGAAGAGGTGGATGACAGGAGGAGATAAGTATGTGTTGGTAAAATGCTTCTGAGGACACTTAAAAACAGACTGCAAGGGGCGCCTGGGTGGCTCAGTCGTTAAGCGTCTGCCTTCCGCTCAGGTCACGATCCCAGGGTCCTGGGATCGAGCCCCACATCGAGCCCCACATCGGGCTCCTTGCTCAGCGGGGAGTCTGCTTCTCCCTCTCCCTCTGCCTGCTGTTCTGCCTACCTGTGTTCTCTCTGTCAAATAAATAAATAAAATCTTTAAAAAAAAAAAAAAGACTGCAAAGCTTGAGTACACTGTTCAACAGGTAACTGGGGAATACGGTATGTTCGACAGTAACTATGTTCTCTTAGAGAAATCAAATGCAAAGGATTTATAGAACGTGTTCTTAAAAAATGAAGGTAGTAATCATGTGATTCATGCTTCAAGAACCACCTGTGAGAACAGTCACCCCCCCATTATAAACTAGCAGATTTTCCCTGTTTTGACTTAACGTGTGTCCCACAGCACAATGTTCCGTTTATTTCCATCCTCAGAAAAAGAGGATGTTCTACCATAAGGCAGTCTAGGTGACTAAGAGCTCATCCTTTAACTGTTCTTAAACCAACAAAAAGTTAAAATAGGACTGGGCAATGCCAAACAAATCACGTGCAGCTTTTTCTCATGGCGGGAAAGTGACAGCAGAAAACTGGTGACAATGCCCAAAGGTAGATCTTTGTTCTTGTTTGTAGCCAGGATTCAGTATTTGTTAGCTTACTGTTGGGGGGAAAATGTGTTAAGATGATTCATCTTTTGACTCATCTCTGAGACCAGTGAGACCAAAGGGGGCCTTTTGATAAGTGATTTTAAGCTCTGGTTTATCCTATGTAAAGGAGCTCCTCATTACTCAGAAAGGACAGTACTAGTTTATGATTTATAAAAAACTATCCTTTATGTTGCATCTTCCAGAGAAGGTTTTACAGTGTGAGGAGCTCTCCTGACCTGAATTTATTAATACTTAATAGTTCTTGTTTGACAGATAAAGGTGCTTAATTAAAATGAGAAGAAAAAAAATGCTCCAAAGTAGAATCCTGTTGATCCAAATTAAAAAATTTATTATCACAGAAAGCTTCAGTTGTCTTTTATTCAACTATGAAAGAAGAGCTATTGTCAGAGTTTAGAATTCGTATCTTTTTCATTAAGTATAGCCTCCTAAAGTCTAGTATTAAAAGCATCTTAAATGACCTAATCAAACATTTATTGTGAAAGGTGGATATTAATAAAAAGCAACCTTAATTACACACTAATGTTAATGTAACATGCAAACATGTTTCTAAGTTCTTTAAAAAATATCCTTAGGCAAGCAGAGTCTGTGGATGAGCCCAGAAATGGCTACAAAGAATCAACTGGAGGAGATTCTGGACACACATATATAGCTCAAGTATGATGTTTTTGTTTACTCTCTTTTCACATGGTCTTTGCACTAGTAAGACACCAGCTAACAATGAAGTGTTTATTCCTGTTTAGAAAAAAGAAAACAAAGGTGACAAGTGAAATGGGTACCAGCCGAACCAGAACACCGTACATTTTCACAAGGTTTTTTTTTTTTAAAGATTTTATCTTTATTTGCGAGAGAGAGAGAGAGAGACAGAGAGACAGAGAGACAGCACAAGCAGAGGGAGCAGGGAGCCCGTTGCGGTACTCAGTCCCAGGACCCCGGGATCATGACCCGAGCCGAAGGCAGACACTTAACGGACTGAGCCACCCAGGTGTCCCTTTCACAAGGTTTTAAATTTGACCAACTCAACCTTTTTCTGTTCCATGCATATTTTTACATATTCAGAGTTAACACATTTGAGTAGATTTCAGGTTGCACTAATGTAGTGGTGTCTCAGCTTCTTTGAAGAGTCTCACCTGTATTTCCATACAGACTACAAAAAGAAACTAATTCTTTGGTCACTGCAAACTTAAAATTGATTTCTCAAATAAATAACAACAGCTGGGAAAGCACTAAAACATCTGACTTATTTAGAGCCAAAGAAAAATACTCAAAATCCTTTGTCGTTTTCTAATTAACCGTCAGTGTGCCCAGTGTCCTCACTCTTCAACCAACTGTTCTTTCCAAGAGGCTAAGTCGTTAAAATTTATTTTCTCTAGACACAATTCTCTGGGCTACTGCATTCAGAAACCACGCCCTACATATCAGTAAATGGCTTTGCTTAACAAATGGGCCAGTCATAAACCGACTTTGGTTGTAGCCTCGTTTTCATTTCTTATTTTTGTGAAGAAATCATGTTGTGTTAAGATAGTCCGTTTTAAAATTTCTGTTGCTTTCCCGATAGTTGGTGCTGAGTGCTTGGTCTGGTTAGGTCAACGTATACTGTGTGTTTTAGCAGTTACAGTGTCATTGCTTGACACGCTATTTTGCCGTATCATTTGGTAAGATAATCCACATTCCAGTGCGCCTTCAAGGCACATCACTCAAACTGCCGTTTTCTTGTTTTGACATAATGGGTATGATCTGGTAACAGAAAAAATAATAAAACGTTGTACAGACAGACTAAGCACTCCAAATGCTTTCACGTCACCCGTGTCACTGATTTTGCGGCAAACCAAAAAGGAATGTGAAATGATGAGAAAGCCAGCAGCAGCTTCTGTAGCAGCTCTTCAAGCTTCCCACTGGGGTGCAAAAGGAGCCACAGACATTACAGAAATGATGAGTGTGGCTGCATTCCAATAAAACTTTATTTATGGACCCTAAAATTTGAATTTCATAATTTTCACATGTCAGAAGTATTATTCTTTTGATTTTTCTTCCCCCAACCCCAATGGCAAAAACCATTCTCATCTCACTGGCACACAAACAGGCAACAGCCTGGTTTGGGGCCCGTAGGCCATAGTTTGAGGACCCTTGCTCCAGGAGGTTTAATAGAACATGGTGAGTCCAGAATTAATGGCTCGGGAACATTACAGATTATCAGCCAAATACCTCATGTCCAAAAGCTAGATTTACTAAAGGTCATAATGTTCCTCTTACAGAAGTTATAAAATAGTATTACTGCTTAAGAGGCAAAAACCAAAACTGACACAACCTATGAAATTCAGCAACTAGGTAGCT